GCGATCTCAGAAAGAAGCAGACAGTTTTGCATTATACATTTGAAGGTTGTATTCAGGCTGTTAAACTGACTCAGACTGATCTGAGCACAAGTGAACCATCGCATCCCCCGACGATGGAGACAAAAGACAACAATATTAAGGATCAGCAGTGTTCCTGTCCAGCTGGTCGGCCTCTGTTCATTATTACAATCATTAAAAAGCAGAACATCAGGCTTTACTACGTTACACTCAGTAGGAAGTTAGCTAGCATGAGCTAACTAACATTACATTAGGAACAATCCACAGCTGACATGTTTCTGGATTTATTTTAGGTTTTAGAAAGAGAACACATCGTCCTTCTCCTTTCAGCCTCTCTGGGTAGCAACTATAACTATTACAAGTGTCCCAGGAACAGCGGTTGATCAAATCTTAGAAAAATACAGCCAAAAAAAAAAAAGCTAGAAAACAACTCTTTTAGCATTAGAGTCAACGGAGCGCAGCCATGAACGTGTGACAGCCCAGCCAACATTTATATGTGGGGCCCATATGGGTAGTAAATGAGCTAAAAAAACGGGCCCTATATGGGATTGTCCTTGGGTTCCATAATGGCCCAATGCCATTTGCCCACATGGGTTTTATGCAGGATTACACTGGGTCTTAGGTGGGCCCCAACTGGGCGCCATTTGTGTTGCCCATTGTAAGCCTATGTACTCGTTTCCCATTAGTGACCCAACTAAGACCCACATAGGAAGCCAACCCAGATTTACCCATTTGGGACCTTCATAGTTTAACACACATGGGTCCCAGATAATATGCCCATTTTTTCAAGCATACCCATGTGGGGCCCAGATACACATGTTGGCTGGGAGGTAAACAGGTATTTGACTCACATTATTTGAAGCCGGAGCTCTTCTGCTTCATGGAGGTGAACTGGTCCCTGTCCTATAATGTCCCACTGTAACTGTTGTGGACAGAACTCTTCTTCTCTCTCTCCTGCTAGCAAACTGATCTCATTAGCAACGCTGACAAATGTGCTCACTCTGCAGCTCTTCCTTTAAAGTTAAGTTCTTTTTCCCCACTTTCTACAGTTTATCTAATTTGAGAGCGACAGTCTTAACTTTCTTTGTCCACATTAATGTCCTCAAACAGATCCGCAGTAGCGTCACAGTGAGCGCATCTTAAAGTTTCTGATACCTAATCAAAGCTTATTGAACTCACCTGGAGTCTCTGCTGTCAGAGTGTAATACCCCTTTTCACCACACACGCAGACTGCCGTTCACCAGCATGAAGAACCCAGGGGGGCGCTGTTTCACCACTTGTTAGATATGAAATGAACGCAGAGAAGAGAAAGACACAATTATGGATGAAAAACTCACAGGTTTCTGTTTTTTAAAGGATTTGTTGTGGTTTTCTTACTCCAATATCATTGTACTCTGAATATATATATGTATGTATATATAGATGAGGACAAATTAAAGAACAAATCTGAATAAAAGAGTGGAGAAACATATCGAAGGGCTCTCTGTTTGGTAAGTGTGAAAATGATGTGAATAAAATTCTGCAGCCTTTACAGTCACCGAATCTCAACTCACTTTCACACCTGTGGAAGATTTTGGAGCAACATTTTAAGACAATACTCTCCATCCAACATACATAATATAATCTTCACATCTGTTTAACGACGTCTGTCTCTGATACTGGATGATCTGCTGGACTCGGGTCTCTCTGGATCTCAACGAGATGGCGTCGTTAAATAAAGGTGGTGGATATAAATGAGGGGGCATCTTGTGGAGGAATGGTGTTCATTGGTTTTTGCTTTCATTTGTCACCCATCTGTATGTCATATATTATATTTGTACTTACAAAACAAGACATCTGAAAACATCCTCATGGACTGTGGGAACCTGTGACGGGCTGCCATTTTAAATAATTAATTAAGAAGATAATTAGAAGATTAACAGACCATTTAAAACAATAATACAGTACTGTTATGTGGCAGCTTAGATTAGAAAATGATTCCTTAATAGTGTTTCAACATGCATTTTTATTATCAGCAACATGCCATTTTGACGTCAAAGCTTTGTTTAATATTCCTCCTCATAAATTAATCATCTGGAAGAACAAGCGTATTTTTTTAATGAAGAAAGAAGACGGTGAGTGATCTTTTTGATCGACATGTCGATTTGTGAATGACTTCACTGTCAAAACAACTTAATAAGTTAGTTTTAGTCGTCTCTGCTGGTCGCAGTCACCCAGAATATTATATTTTCCCATAGGTGTCACTTACACTGGGGACGCTGGGGACATGTCCCCACCACTTTTTGAAACCACTTGCCAAAAGTTTTCTGAAAATTAGCTTGCTACAAGAAATGTTAAATAACAAATAAAACTTGCACATGAATTGTGTTTCCCAGCATACAAATAAGCACCATAAGCTGGTGCAGAAAATGTCTCTAGAATTCAGGAAATTAAGAGTTTAATGCTCAAAATCTTCTGGTGGAGGACACCAAGTCCCCCAATCAAATACCCCGTTTCATCAATAAATATTTATTCTAAATAGCATTGGAGTATCTTGTCTCGTCTCCAATAGTGTTCATTATCATGTGTCGTGTATCAAGTGTTTTGTCACACCCCTATTCTGAACCCTTAAATGTCCCCACCACTTTTCAACACCCAGTGACGCCCTTGTATTTTCCAACAACTTATGATCAAAGAATTGATTATAAATAATCCAAAATGCAATAACAAAGTGATAAAGAGCTGGAAATCATATAATAGGTTATATTACCTCCAACTAATATTCTTATTTTAAATTTAAAGACATTATTTTGGAATAATTTATACCGTAAAACTTTACATAAAAAGCAGAGTACCAGTTGGACGTCTGTCCCTTTTACTGGTCTCGTGTGGCAGCGCGTTTGGACAAATAAACGCAGGTCTCATTTAGAAGCCTGGTCTGGTTTTTCTAAAAGTTCTCTGCATCTTTAAAACCTCTTTCAGCCCACTGGGTCTCCTGCTCGAGCTCCAAGCTGCTTAGATCGTGCAAAGAAAAATAAATGTTAAAACTTTTGTCAGTGTGGACATGCAAAACACATCCGTTAGATCGGATCAGGACTGTTCATTTTATGGAAACAATTCAGATTTACCGGCATGGTAAACATACAGTTTGATAGCAGCACCATCTTTGTTGAGCGCACGTTTTGCACAAATGCACAGATATAAGGTGGGTGAGTTCAGTGATTTAAGCAATTTACAGGATGTTTTTCAAATTTGGAAATACAGACACAATTTCTGCTACATGGACAAAATTAAAAAGCCATTTCCATCTCCTCTTTTCCATCTCCTTTATCTTCCCCGTCTTCTTCTGCTCCTCCATCTCACCTTGCATCACCTCTTCACCTCCTTTCTCTCTTTGCGCTCCTCTCTCTTCGTCTTCTTCCTCTTTCCTCCATCTTGTTTGTTTTCTCCTCGACTCTAAATGAAACTCAACGAAACACGATTGTTCTCCTCCTCTCACCAACACGGTAAGAGGCAAACATCAGCACATCGGAAGGAGTCGCTGTACGACATCTCATCCCCAAGAGGCGCGGAAGAAAAACAAGCTGCTTTAATTTAACTGAAACCAAATAGATTTCTAAAAGTGCTTTTACTTTAAATGTCAATACAAAAAGTCGATATAGCGAAAAGCCTTTCTGAGGAGGAATAAAAGACGACATGAAAAGGCTGAACAAACAGATGAAAGCTGGACTCCTGCAGCTTCCACACTTTTATAACCTGACCTTTACCCGACAGACGGATCAAACGCACACAATAACCTGGACTGGGAACCCTCAAGCCCTCCGCAGGAAGGGCCGGAGCCGGACTCCGCTGAGGATGTTTTATCAGTCTGCGGTGGCCTGTTTGCTGTTGCATTGTGGGGCAGCAGGCTGAGGGTAGAGGACGCTGACAGAATCAACAGACTGATCCACAAGGCCAGTGACGACGTGCTGCAAATGTAAAGGATTTTAATCCATTTCAGCATTAAAACAGTCATGATTACTAATACTTCTTCATTACACAGTCAAACACTGTCCATACTCCTGTTTAGATGTTTATATTTTCTTTTTTGTGTTTGTATTTTAACTTTTTATTACTCTCTTTAATGGCAACATGAGCAACAGTAACAATTTCCGCTCGGTATCAATGAATTATTCCTGATTCTGAATTAAAATCTCCAAAAAAATAAATGTAATTTTCTGTACTTGATCATAAAAGTTTGCCTTAAAGATGATGTCTGTAGACTGAAGTTTGGCCCCACAGCAGGAGGACAGCGCCGCCCTGTGGCCACATGAACACACTGCAGCTTCAGCTGTAAAGTGAATGTCAGGGTGGAAGGATTGAAGCATGATACGTTTTATGAGTCACATGAAATTTTACCTTCTCATTTTTTCGATGTGATCAATAACGGAACGCAACAGGAAATCTAAAATCACTCAGTCCAAAAGGCATCTATAAAGATTTAGGGAGTTGCTTCAAAAATATAACTATCAATATCAAATATTATATTTATTTCTCTTCAGAAAACCGGATGTACTTTACAGCAGTCTTCTGTGTGTATTCTTTATTCTTATCCAGAATAAACTGATTTTAAAGATGCATCTTTAATAAGAAAATTTCCTCTGTTGTCGTACTGCTTTTATAGCTCATCACATTGACTTTTTAAACATTTATTTACCACCTGTCAGGCTCAGATTCCCGTGATGTTTCCTGTTGTTAGAAATATTCAGAGCAAAATGTACTTAAAATATAAAAACTATGCAGAAAAGCCCGACCCAGGGAGAAGTATTATTAAATATATTAAATTATTACAGCAGTATTACTGTTATTGATGCATTAATGAGTAACAGAACTTTTTTTAATTGATCATATTTTGTTTGTAAAATCACAGACTGATAAATGTAGAAAGTAGCATTAAATAAAAATACCTCAAAACTGTACTTGAGTAAATGTGTTTGGTTAGGAACAAGACGAGGAGACGTTACTGATCCGAGTTCATCTTTAATGACACAAACAGCCGATCCGCCTCATCCTACATCAATAAATAAACACGCTACTGAAAAATTAAAGGAAACATTTGGTGATTCAGAGTCTGGAGATGAAACCAATCAGCTGACAAAACGTTCAGTGTGTATTTTATCTGTTTGACTGTCGGCGTCAGACTCAAATGAAACCAAAGAAAAGGACAGGAGGAAAAAAGAAACAGCTTATAAAATGTTGTGACGTCCATAAAGAAAGTGAGCTGCTGCCTCTCGACAACCCGCAACGTATTTCTGCTCGCGGATGTTTCGCGCTCTCTGGTCAGTTTTTAAGATGAACCGAGTCGCATCTCTAGTCCCACTAAAAACCTGACGGGTTCACTTGTTAGGTAAAAATAACGAAAGACATTTAAAAAAAAAAAAAAGAATTAATACACTAACTGTCATTAAAATGGTGTTCGGTTTCATTGATAGAGACCTGATACTTTATGATAAATCACGCTGATATTTGCACCTTTAAAAATAAAATAAAAAGGTAACGTCGGTGTTTTTTAAACAGATTTTAGCGTAAACTGACTCGTAAGGACAAAACGTTTTCAATCTGTGCAGGAGATGCTTCAGCCGGCAGCCGAACCTGCTGCAACGTCCACAAGAGCAGCTTCTTTTTTTACCAGCGGCGGGCTCAGACTGGAAAGGATCCCTGCGAGGGGCTCCCGGTGACCCCCTTTGTTTTTAAACAGGAAACTAAAGTCACGCTCGCAGCTCAGATCTCGCTCTGAAATCTCACGAGAGGAAAGTTGTTGCAGGAAGACGCCGGTGAAAACATGAGTCTGAGAGGAGTTTGTCGTGCCGGAGTAACGTTAGGAAATAAAGTCTTGCAGGCAGCACCTCTACGTCCGCAACAAACTCCTCTCCCTCGCTTCCACCGGCGCCTTCCTGCTCGCCTCTCATGAGATTTCAGAGCGTCATTTTGACGTTCGCCCTCGAGAACGTTGCTGGCTGCCAGCTGAAGCCATCTACTGCAGCGAGTCCCAAAAACCTTTTGTACCTTCTCGTCATTTTGACCCCAAAATGTGTGAAAATACATTCAAAATAGCAAAAGTAACCTTTAATACAAAGAGAACTGGACTTTATCTCTAATTTATTTTCCTATTCTATCGAGTTTTTAGTGGAATATCAACTGTAAATAAAAACAGATACTGATACTTTTACATGCACAGGTGGAGGGACTTGAGTCCTGCCTGCATACAAACAACAAGCTCAACTATAGAGATAAGGTAGCCTGTACGTAGCCTGACAGACGAAACCCAGGGCGCCTTAAAGGGGAAGTCCACTGATTTTACACAGAGTGCGTTTCCCACTGCAAATATTTTAGCACAAAGCGTCTTCAGACGGAGGTCTGATAAATGTCCTCGAGTGATGTCACTTGAGGCGGCGTCGGATGAGGACGAGCTCACCGGGCCGCCGTAGCTCGCGGCTCATCTCTGGCTACATTTGCCGCTACTGCCATAACACGCCCTGATCTCTGGGTAAATTGTTGGCAAAACAAAAGAGGATATCTGCGGTTCTGCTGCGTTATCCTTTTTCAAACTATTGATCAGGAGTCTAGCTGATTTTAAAAGGTGGGGAGGGACACGCCCCCACCGCCATTAGTGAATGAATGACAGCAAATTAATAAAAAGACAAATAAAAGCTGAGAGACATTTTGCTGACTGCGCGTTCAGACATCAGGCGGCACTCGGGCTCGTGTCGTGTCCTGAACGGCTGCAGCGGCGGCCGTGACGCGTCCACACGTGTCACTTCCTCCCGCGGCGATCACGTGATGAAGACTGCGCTGAGATGAAGCAGCAGCTGTTACAGAAGGAACAGAACACGAGTCGAGCAGCTTCTTCCAACACGACCGTCAGCCAGACGGTCACAAAGCTCGCGGCTTTGGTTCCTGTGACGGCAGCTTCTTCTTCTTCTCTTTCTTTATCCGTCGTTTCTACTGCAGTTGTCCCCCCCGCCCCCCCCCTTACCCCCCTCTGTCTCTCTCTCCTCAACACACACTATGTCTCTCTCTCTCTCTCTGGCCACCTCTCAGGTGCGTCTCCTCTTGGCTCCTCCCGGACTCGCCGGGTTGGAAGACGACAGCAGTTTTTCGGCTGCTCGGCTTCTCTTCCTCTTCTCCGCCTCCTTCCCTCCTCCTCCTCCTCCTCCTCCGCCGCCGCCGCCGCCACCTCCTCCTCCGCCGCCGCCTCCTGCCGCTCCTCCTTCACTCCCTCCCTTCTCCTTGTCTCGCTCTCCTCTCTCCTTGTCCCGGCTGCTGCTCGTTCGCTCCGACATCTTCACAGACGAGTTGCTGCCTGGAGGACGGACAGAAGCAGAAACGGTGTATTAGCCTGCGCACAAGATTAAATAAAAGGTGGCGTTCTTATCCAAGAACCAACAGCGCTTCATTTTAAAGTTACTGTAAAGCCAAAGTAAAGAAAGCAGAGTTATAATTCAGTCCAGGTCCAGTTTCTAATATTAATAAACTCTGGGATTTCCTGGTTGTCAGTTCGAGAAAACAAAAATATTCCACAAAACTCAAAACAAGTTTTACCAAACACAGTTCATTCACAAAAAAAAAAACAATAAAACAATTTGTTTTGCTTCCGCCGACTCACAGTTCACCAGAGACGTTTACTGGAGTAGTTTAATAAGACGACGCTCCAGGAGTCCGACGCCTACTTTTACCTACGTAGGCAAATGAAGCGGAAGACCGACTTCACGCCGTACGGACGTACACGGCTCGTCATGAAGAGACGTTACAGAGCTGAAGGGTGGGTTCGTGAAGGCGAGTGAAAAACTGCACTGTTGTTAAAAACATCATCTGGGCGATCGCTGGATTTCAGTACACATCCCCACCCAGTCAGTCAATCAGACGCTATTCCGTCATTTTCGCTGTCAGAACACTGGAGCTGCTGCCTCGAGCGGTTAGTTTGTTTCTGTTACTATGTGATAGTTTGTTAAAATGACTATTTTTGTCAATGGAGTCTGGTGGCTTTGAGGAGAGCGATACAGCGACCGTTTGTCGGTTCGGCTATCAGAGCTGAGATGGAGGGAGGACGGAGAGACGGGTACCTTCTTCATGTGTAGCTGGAGGTTCTCTCTCCATCCTGAACTCCTCTTTGGTCTCCTCCTCTGAGCCCAGCTTCCCTACAGACACAGAGAGAGAGAGACATTAACTCACATCTCATCCGAAAACATTAAACATAGAGACGACACTTTGCTTCTACTGCAGGTAATACACCGACTATCCCTTTAAAACTAGCACGTGTTTACGTACTACATGCTGAACCAAACACACCGAAGAAGAGATCCAAGTCCGCAAGACTAAGAGAATAAAACGGATCTTCAGTTAAGCATCCACATGTTTGAAAAGAACTTATTGTGAGTCGCTTTGCGTAAAAGCACCAGCTAAATAAACGGTTTTCAACAATTATAAGAGTGTAAAATGTTCCTGCAGACAGACAGCAGAGATCCTCACCTTCTTTCACCTCCTGGATGATGTCGTCGGGTAGAGAGAAGCTCTTCTCTGTGTTTGGAAACGGCAAGATCTCCGACTCGTGCTGCAACACAGACACGAGTCAAATACCAAAGGAAATGATGAAGACAGTCAGCCGAGCGTGTGTGTGTGTGTGTGTGTGTTTGTGTGTGTTTGTGTGTGTGCGAGCGCCTCCTCACCAGAGCCTGCATGTCGTACATCGTTCCCAGATGATCCCAGATGACGGAGGAGGAAACCTGCCGGCCGATGTTCTGGCTGAACTTGTCTCTGATACAGATCATGTGGAAGTGACGGTTCACACCTGGGGGGGGGGGAAGAGAGTTACACTCAGAGTCCGACCCATACGGGATTTTAAGATCGATACCAAGCGGGAAGCTTCCGGTCAGAAACCTGAGGCCGACGCAGAAAGTCTCTTAAACCTGCATTCTATTGAACGACCAGCGGGGGGCGACTCCAGCGGCTGCAGGAAGAAGTCTGTGAGAAAATGTTTCTGCTTGTCAGCTGATTTATTCCCTCAGTAAACACTTTCCTGATGAGTTTATGGTCTCAGTCGCTAGTTTCAAGTCTTCTTCAACACAGCATGATGTTCATTTAGTAAATTATGGTCCCATTTAGAGGAACAGAGACCAGGAAGCAGGGGAGGCTTTAGGGCAGGGCTACAAGCTGATTGACATGTCGCTACCATGGCGACCTGTAAATCAGGCTAGAGTGACTCGTACCCTCGGCGCTGTAGAAAAAGCTCATCAGGAGTCGGCTGTTCACTTTCTCTGGAGGGCACATTTAGTTTTAAGCCTGTTGTTCGTTAGAAAAAATTATCAGACCTGTTAAAATGACAGTTAACGTGACGCACTTAGCTAAACAAGCTAGCTTAGCTCCACACACGGTCGTTAGCTCCACCGTCTCGTCCAAATATGGTCACGTCCGGTGCCGCTGGTTAAAAAAAACCAACCTCAAATTGGCGGCGTCCTATCGGCCAAACTCGAGGCTTCAAAAGGGCAGCCCACAAACCAACGGGTGACGTCACCATGACTACGCCCACTTCTTTTATACATTCTATGATGGATACGGATTTAGACTTTAAAAGCTCAGGAGTCTTCTAACATAACATGAAATAATGCAGTTTAAAAAGAAACGTTGATTATTGTTATAAATAATAATTTGAACAAAAGTACAGCTGATCGCCGTGTGTTGTCAACAGGGAGCTGCAGAGCGCCCTCTGGTGGACAAACTGTACAACACCACCACCCACCATGAAGGACCCCTCGCTCCGTTTCTTTTGTCATTTATCAGCTGCTATAATAATTAACTGTATATGTACTACATTCAGTAACAAGGTTTGTAGTATACCGTCTTTTCCAGTTGATATACGATACATCAATGTGCATTTTACACTTCGAGCACATAATAACAGACTAATCCGTGTCAAAGATTCGATGTGATTTAGATTGTCAGCCAGATTGTGCTACTTTCACATAGGGCTGGGCGGCACAGCTGTATTTTAAGGGGTACCGATAGATTTTCATAAGCGATATAAAACTAGATGGCACCGTTTATAACGATATAGTTTGATATTCAGTTAATTAATAGATTTTTCCGTAAATTCTCGCCAGCGTTTGCTTCTCTCTCTCCTTTACCGCGAAATCCCACTCTTGATTTTGAAAAAATATCTAATTGTGATTATTTTGATTAATATTTCATTTCTAAGGCCATTATTCTGATTTTCAGTGAAAAAATTTTAAAATTTTATATCTCTCTCTCTCAGCTGGGATTGGCTCCGCCCCCCCTGTACGCAGGATAAGCGGTTGACGATGGATGGACGGAATATTTTAATTGGCTGTTCAGCACTATGCTCCACTTGTTAAAAAATTTTATTGGGCTACTATTTTGATAAATCAGTTTGAGTCATTTTTTAAGGATAAACAGTGTGCAGATTCCTGCGTCTTCACGCGTCACTTTAAACTCTAAGAAACTGATCAACATTTTATAGACCAGACAACTAAACGATTAATGGAGAATATAATTGACTGATTAATCAGCACTGTAAGCTCAAAGCAGCTGAACACCTGAAGCTGCTGAAGTACGTCTGCATGTGGTCAGAGAGCTGAAAACAACTGGAATTAAAGCTGCAAGCGGCGATGAGCGGGCCCGAACACCTCCCGCTCGTTGGGGTGTGCCGCAGCCGCGCAGCCGTCGCGTGGCACGACTTCCTTCAAGTTTTTTGATCAATCAAAAAAAGCTTCGCAATTTAACATCGCAAGCGTCTTGGGAAGGCACAGCCCACATTTGAAGTCGACCTGATCACATCCCTCGGACAAGTTTGTTAAAATACGGAGGGTGTAAATGGAAAATCCTCACACATTCAATCCAGTATGGCTGACTTCCTGTTGGGTTTAGGGTCGTGGTCCAAGAGGCTTATTTTTAAGTCTGGACTCGATATATATACCTACCAAGTTTGGTGAATGTAGGCCAAAGAGAAAGGAGGGGGCTTTGGTTTTGTTAGGGGGCGCTATTGAGCCATTTTTGTGCACCCGTGCACGTGACCCATATCAGATCGCTATTTTCACCAGTTCGGACGTGTGTGCTAAATTTCACAACTTTTCATGCACGTTAACCCTCCCAAAAAATGCACCCAATGTATAAGATAAATAAAAATAAGACGATTACAGTAGGGTCCTCCAGCGGTCGCTGTTCGGGCCCTAATTACATCTCGGACGTTGATGTGAACGTTACATCGTCCCTGAGAGTTTAACACACTGCAGATTAAAAGCTGCTTAGAGTTAGTTGGTGTGCAGTCTGGAAGTGGCACACGGCTGGATTCAAACATCTGGATACAGACAGCCGTTTCCTGTTTCTCTCACTTTGGTTTAGTTCATATTAAGGTTGACAAGCCAAAAACCTGAACTGAGCCTGGACAGACCTGGCGGTTAATGTCTTTGATCTTTAAAAACTTCATTTCCTGCATTCTGGGGAAAGTTTCTGCATCAATTTATGGTGTAAATGTTTTATGTATGTAAAAGGAAACAAAATTCAGGCGGCAGGTGACATTTCAAAATATATAAATATAACAGAATCTAAGTGAGTGCAGCTCTCAGATCAGTTTGTCCTGCAGATCAACGTTTCTCCTGTAACATCGTCCCTGCTGAGGCAGGATTTAGTCTTCCCTCCTCTTTGGTCACGTTCACAGAGAGAGAACGAAAAACTTGGCCAAAAAGAAACCGTGTCAACAAGTTGTTAAAGTTACTGACTGGTGCTGCAGGTTTTTGGATCATTTTATAATCAGTAGCTTGTTTTTCTTGGTTCCTTTTTTTGGACAACGCACATTTGTTTCTTTTTTAATTGCACTGCATGTTTTCTTAAGCTTGGTTTAGCCTCCTGCGTAGGGTCTACGGCGTAGCCAGGCATTTATGCTTGTGCATCGGTGTGTCTGTTGTTCTGCTATTACACCCCCAAACGCTCCACCGTGTTACAGCCGCCGGTTTGGCCGCTAGTGAAAGTTACTTCCTGTCGACCGATCACAGAGCTTACGGTCCCGCGCCACCTCGCAGCGTAGTTACATTTCTGAGGAGGTGCGCGTCAGGCTACGGCGTAGTGTAGGAGGCTACGCAGAGGCTACGCCGTTGATTTGACGCAGAAGTATAAATCGCACTTTAATCTGCAAAAAAAACTTTCTCAGGGCTTTTTCATTTGTTATTTCACTGCAAGCTGTTTCAGAACGTCTTTAACAAATTATGCTTTAAAAAAAAGTGGTGGGGACAAAATCAGCCACTACAAGAAGTGGTGGGGACATGTCCCCAGCGTCCCCCGTGTAAATGACACCTATGCATGCTAGATATCTGGCTGGGGTCTGGCGAGCGCCGATAGATTGCCGATTTCTCTCCCGATAACAGCCCGACCGTCTGCGAGCTCGGCAACTGTCAAATCGTGTGGTGTGAATTTGGTTTAACTGCTCTGTTTCATACATCGGTGGATCAGCCCGGGCATCGAACCGCCGATTTTCTCCGATTAACAGGCAACCTGCTGACCCCCCACAGCCGCCCAAGTTAACTAAACTCCTCAGACCTTGACATGATCTTCTTACCTGCTGTTATATTAATCAATAAATGTAATCAGCCAAACTAACCTGCTGCACCAAACACACACTAAAAAGTTCCACACAACCACATTTTATTTTGAAAGTATCATCTTTAGATTCATATTCTCGTTTTCTTCTACCTGCGAACTTATTTATTTCCATTTATCTCTCTTTAATGCCTTGATTAGCAACACAGCAGTAAAACATTTCTGATTCAGAGTTTTGGAGATTTTTAACGTCAGTTAAAACTGCAAACACCTGAAGTAACAGAGGGCCGATCAAAGTGTTTTGTCGGGACCTACTGGGACCCCGCTCCCCAGTTTGGGAAACGCTGGGTTAAACTGGGAGAACTGGGCAGCCGTTAGCAGCCGTTAGCAGCTAGCATGCTAACACCGTTAGCTGTGTCTTACCGACGGGCTTGTGTCCGATCATCGCGTGAAACAGACAGACCTCCACCTCGTGGCTCCAGACCACCGAGTCCTCCCCGGGAACCAACCCCGAGTCCGGAGGCTTCTCGTCGGTCTGATTCAGCGTCACGTCTGCTTCTCCCATTTTTTTTAAAAGAAAGGCTAAAACAGGCTGGAAGAAGCTCCCGGAGCTAAAACGGCTGTGAAGCGGAGTCTGTTGTGCTCCGCCTGCGCCGGCAGCCGGAAGCACTTCTTTCTACTTCCGGGAGTTTATTGTTTCAGAATAAATGGTTTCACGGATCGCCAGAACAGAAATACTGTATGTGCGAAGTTTTTTTTTTTTTTGCACCCCAATAACTGCTTAATAATGGAGGAAATAACAATCAGAATAATAAACAAATTATTCAAATAATTTCCAATACACCAGCCAAATTTTTTGGGCCACGTCTCCAGCACAGAAATATGTGCGATAACTTTTTTTTTGAGCCCCAAAAATGCTGAATAATCAAGTAAATAACAAGAATAATAATAAACAAATGATTAAAGAAGGGCCAGATACACCCGCCAAATGAGACGCTTGGTATTTTTTCAGAATAAATGTCACAAACCTGCTTAATAATTGTAAATAACAAGCAGAATAATAAACAAAATGCTTGAATGATAAAAGGGAACAGAAATCTTTGTTTCTTTTTTTTGCATCCCAAAACTGTTTAATAATTGAATAAAAAAAACAATAAGAATAATAATAAGAAATTACTGAAGGAATTTCCGATACACCAGCCAAATTTTTTGGGCACGTCTCCAGCACAGAAATATGTGCAAAAACATTTTTTCACACCTCAAAATGTCTTAATAGTTGATTAAATAACAAGCACAATAATAAACAAATTCTTAGTTATTTCCGATACACCAGCCGAAAATCTTGTTCCAAATTTTGACCAACTAAAAAGTTTCATTCTTTTTAAATTGGACACTTACTTTCTATCTTATGGAAGTGCTGACGCAATGAATTAAGTGGTATATTCTCATTTCAATATTAAATATTTAGGTCGAGTTATTTAATGATAAACTTTAAAATCTGCTGCATCAAAGAACCAGACTGACTCAGAGTTATGCTACGGTGATAAAAACACCAAAATGTTTATTGCAAATAAAAATAGATACAGTCGGGGCCATAAAACATCCAGAGAGAAGGAGAAAGAAACATTTCAGGTACGTTATATTTAACATGATGATGAGGGGCTACTGAACGTCACAGAGCTGTATATATAATGATACTTCTATTTGTTTTTTTACATCAAAATACAAAACTGTGCACCTTTTAATAAAGCATCAACATCAATAACATCGAGAATAACAACGTGACGCTGAATAAGTCCAGTCAGAGCAGCTCGACTCAAGCGTACAAAAACTTAGAGATCTTTTCATTTTTAATATGGGAGGAAAACGTCATAATGAAAAACACACCCGATGTTTGTGAATATTAAACGGTGACCTGGAGAAAAAGTTAAATGTCCTACTTTTCAAAGACTTTACTTCCTAGAATGCCATTAAATCTTTATAGAATAATGAAAAGTTCTGTGACAGAGGTGATACTTTGAGGCGGAAAGTCACAATCTTCTTCTGACAAGTGACGACTTTAAATTCAAATTTAATAAAAAGGGGCATCTTCACCAGTTTTATACATCAAGATCAGATCATCATCTGTCTCTTGAGAACCTGCTGATACTTCTAAATTTATTGACTAGCTTTGTTTCAGTCGAGCGATGTTTGTTGTCGGCGTGTGGGAGCTGATTTTTGTTAGTCTCTTCCAGAATCACAGGTGAACATTTCTATTTTGTTTCCTGATGTTAAGAGTTGACGTTGAACTCAAAGCGTCCCTGATCGGATCCGTCTTTAATTTCAAAGCTCTCTGAAACAAAAAGTAAACAGTTTCTTTGTAGGTGAAAAATAAGGTTTTCCTTAATTTTATATTTTAATTGTTGATTAATTAATCTGAAGACAATCTGATCGATTAATTGTTTAGTCGATATAACGTCTTGTTTTGTGTAACCAACAGTCCAACACCAAAATAATTCAGTTTACAATTATTAATAATATAAAAAAAAGTGGCTGGAGAGCGGTGACAACAAATCAATTAGCTAAAAAGTTAACAAATAATAAACAATTAAAACGTCCGATCAGAGAAACTCGAGCTTGTTCAAACCCAGATCGCAACCTCACAGACCCTTAAGCTTCTGTCGCCTCGGCTCATTCTCACAGCTTATTGGGAGAGGGGGCTGCAGGGCCCCGCCCCTCGCAGCCTCTCCACCAATACGATCCAAGAATAAGGACTGGAAATATTCAGCAGAGGAGCTTCAGTCTGCCTCCTCCTCCCTTTACTCCCCCCCCCCTCACTCAGGCCAGAACTTTAAGACTGAAAACAGGTGTAGGATCGGTCACCAGGCAGGTAAACGCTCACCTGTCCCGTCCGGTCAGATAATAATAAGGACTAATAGAAAAGACGCTGAGCTTAGGGAAAACATTTGGTCCCTTTTGGTTTGCTACTACAGCCGCTGACCATTAGAACCTTCATTTACACACGCTCTGAAACATCCACACCTGCACCGCCTCTCAGGTACGACGGTTATTAACGGTGTCGTGAGGTCCCGGTGAGCAGCTGGGACAAACAACACAGTCCAGCTCTCACAAATGGACGACTCAATGTCTAAAATAACTGGATTATTGTTTCCTCAATCTTAAAATTCTGGCCTTTAAAAATTAAAACAAGGTAAAGCAAAAGCAAGTGAAAGCAGGAGGCAGAGTGACTGGCGGCCCGGCGCCACATAAACCAGGAAGTGAAGACATCCAGAGACGCAGAACCACACCTGGGATGATGTGAATGAGTGGTGGGTCTTTGTTTGGCGGCTTTAAAGACAAAGGAAGTAAAAAAAAAAAAAAGGAACAGCGACAGAAGCGTTTGTTGTACCGTGGGATGTTTTGAGGCTGTTTCAGGGCTAAAACAAACGCTCCTTCAAACAGCAGACATTTAACTGCTTCCTGGCGTGTCTGCGTGAGCTGCGCGCACACAGGTCATCTGTCGGTTCGTGTTCCTGTGTGAGAGCAGCTGACAGACGGAGGGAGGAATCATCGTAGGCACCGAGTCCGGACTGCTGTAACCAAACAACCTTTAATTATAAACACCGCCACCGGTAGCACGACAGCAGACGTTAACACCGAGACCAGCGGCTGTTCCCATGGTTATCAGAGACAAACGCGTTGGCTACATGAGCCCCCCCCCCCTCCCCGGCCACGAACAGGAAGCTGGAGAGGCGGGAGAGGGAGGGGCTTCAGTGAAATGTGGCGGCAGCAGGTTGCATGAAAAGTGAGGGCGGCGGGGAGGGGCAGCGATGGATGCTATTGGTCCTTCTTCTCTGATTCTGAAGAATCCTGTTTAGCCCCTTCCTCCTCAGGAGGAGTCTCCTCATACCTGGAGGAGGAGGAGGAGAAAGGAAAAGACAGGAAGAGAAAGAAACATTCATCATCCTGACAGATCATGTTCAGTCTTACATCAATCACAATATTCACTTTTGCATGGCTATATTCAATAATTAAGAAATTAACTGTATATTTGTATGCAGTAGGGCTGCGCAATGAAACAGTAATGATCGCAAAACAATTTACTCAATAACAATGTAACAAATGTTCAAAATATCATCATAATTGTTGGTTTAATTCATTTGAATCACGAACAAATTGGCACCTAATATTTCTATTAAAATATTTATTTTGTAGTGGAAAGAGGACTGAAAAAAGATTTACTAAATCATATTTGTTGAAGAAGATTTTACTCACTGGCATCAAGTTTTTGTCACTTTCTGACCATAAAGAAAAGTTTAAACCACATAATTCATTTTCACTCAGGAGTACAAAATAAATAAAAATAAATCAGTCTTTAAACTTGAAAGAAATAATTATCACGATAAATGATAATTTATCATTATCTATATCATCGAATGATATGAAATGTTTTTATCGACCTTGTATACAGTTTATATGTATAAATGTAGCTGCAGTGCTGAGCTGTTAAAAATAAAAAGTCATGAACGCTGCAGCCGACAAAGTGGCTACATTCCCCCAAACACAGTACAACTGCAGTAGCGCCCCCTTGCGGCTGCAGTGTTCACCACAGCCTCAGAATAAAGGCCGATTTATACTGCTGCGTAGCGTCTACGGCGCAGTGGCGTCATCAGCTTTTAGACTTGTGCGTTTGTGTCCGCTCTGCAATTACACCACCGAAACGCTGTGGCAGTGGGGTTTCTATGTTCCACTGTGTTGAGCTTCATTTTAAGATAATTATAATAATAATAATAAATAAATTTAAGGATCCCTAAAGTTTAATGGTTATAAAATGACGACCAGTATGTGCTCTGAGCGAGACATTTTACAGTGTGCACACATTTGTCATTTTTAGATTGAAAGTTTATAAATTTATTTAACTTTTAACACGCTTTGAGTGAAGGGTCCTTAAAGTGCTCAAAGCTTTATTTTCAACTTAAACTAGAACTCTGACATGACTGAAAGCTCCAGAGCTAAACGCACTCTGTGGGGAACAACTTATGCAGCTCCGTTGAGGTACGGAGTCAGCGTCGCATTATACAAACATTATTTTTAATTATTAAATTTGGAAACCGAAAAAAAAAAAAAAAAAAAGACGTTTCACTCCATTTACTAGCTTTTTCTGGAGCTTTCAACTGCACTTTGATGTCTTCATCAGAAACTTGAACTTGCTCAGAGGAGCTATGGCTCGACCGTGACATCTGAAGAGGCTCTGGGAAAGCCTCGAGTTAAGATGTGTGTTTTTACTCCTCCTCAAACAGAGAACTGCATTTCAGTACTGCAACCTCCGTTGACCTCCTGCTCCTTACTGCCTCTGATACAGCACATCAGCGTTATTCTGTTTAATCATCAATTGGGCTCTCGTCCGATTATCTAGAAACGTAATCAAATAATAAAAATCTACTTTACAGCAACTGAACAAACAAACATCTGAACCTGTTTGCTTGAACTGATTCACCAAATACAAGAATTAGACTTTAAATATTTAAAATATATACATCATGTTTATTAATAATTACTGAGATCGATTTGTTGATATCGACACGCCGAAAGCAGAGCGATGTTTTTGTTAATGTGGTGACACCGGACGGCAGATGGATGGAGAGATGGCAGCACTCGTCTTGTTAATGGGCCGATTACCTGCCCAGGTGAGACGGGAGGGGGGAGTAAAGAGAAAGGGGCGGGGCATCTACATGGAGGTGGGCTGTAACCGGCGGCGGCGGGGGGAGCCTGTCGCCACAGAGACGGCATCCATGGAGCTAGCCAGGCTGGCGGGCGAGCCGCTGACGGTTGGGAAGGAAGTGAGTCTGGGAGAGCCAGGGAGGACTTCCTCTGACGACTCATAGCTAACCACGGGGGAGGATGGGTAAAGAGAAACATGGCAGAGAAAATAAGAACAAGAGAAGTGATGAAAAAGAAAGAAAAAGGGGGAGGAGAGGAAGAGAAGAGAGAGAAAGAGAGTGCGGTAAGTTTTAATCTTAAACTCTAAAGTTAAAAAGCGACTACGGAGCTCTGCTGCTGAGATATCTGAGAGACGAGAGGAGCGCAGGCGGTGAAGGAGCAGGAGGAGAGAGGATGGTGAGAAAACAAAAGGAAGGCGGCCGAGGAGGACATGGATGGAGAGGAAAAAGTGAGAGGACAGACTGAACGAGGCGCGGAGAAACAAAATGACGAGGCCTGGATGAAGAGATGAGCAGCTGTCGAAGACGTGAGGAGGAGGAGGAGGAGGAGGAGGAGGAGGAGGAGGAGGAGGTGAGACAAAGACAGACAGACAGTTCACACTCCCAAAAATATAATGATGCAACGTTTGTAATGATAATGGTTCCTTTGGGTTGTTTGTTGTTTGCTTTTTGGGTGGGGCTGCCGAAGTGCACGTAATGGACTAAAAGCTTTACACTACATGTCACCTTCAGACACATTCTTCAGGAGAAAAAAAAATTCCCACATTTTGGGGTTCAGCATCTTGCCCAAGGATTTTGGAGGAGCCGTGCCGAGGATCAAACCACGACCTTCTTATCAGCGGACGATCCGCTCTAACTCTGTTCACATTGAACGCAAAACTAATTTTTCATGTTGCACAGTTACATAAAAAGCCAATGCAAAGACGCACAGTGTTGTGTGGACAGGACCGGGCAGAGCCGCTGCTCGCCAACTGCGTGAGCTTCTCGACCTGTTGGCAGCAGCGGGAGTTATCGTTAACGTCAGCGGGCTGATGTCAATATTTTGGCATCATTTTGATCCACTTGTATCAATGTACCCGCAGTAAAATGTTTATTTTGGGGTCATCCTGCTGTAGTAAAACAGATTAAAGGCACGAGTAGACACAAAAAGTCCAGTGGTCAGACTATCGAGCGCCACTAACAGATAAATGCATTAGATGCTGCCGTTTGTTCATGTGGAGAATCTGATAAAAATATTGTAGGTTGAAACGTTCACTTTTTTTTTTCTTTTCTTAGTATGCTTGTGCATTTTGTCCGGCCGCTGTACGCAGCTGCGGCTGAATGTGCAGATCGACATTCTTTAAGAACCAGAATCTCAGTCTCCAAGTTCACTCGTAACACACCGACAGAATCCACACTTAAGGTAAACTTTGTGTCATGAACCTGAAGAGTGATTTCTGGTTAAATGTCCTTCTGAATTCATTCAGTAAACCCGTTTCTGTATTTTATTAAAAATAAATGTTTCTCTTTTTGTGTTGCAGGCAGATTGAGGCCTCAGGTGTTTATTCTGCCGTCTTATCACACAGCAGAATAGAAAATCATGTGATTAGAAGAGATTTCAACTCAGACACAGAACGCTGAACCTGCGTCCCTAAACATCGTAACCTTAGTAACTACAAATGAACTCTGCCAGAAGACGGATTTCTTCTAATTCAAAAGAACAACTCTGATGTTGTTATTCTGCCGGGAGCTTCGGTCCAGTAGGGAGTCCTCCAGTGGACCCCCATGGGACCTAAAAACAACTCTACACACGATCCCTTCAGTTTCATTGACATCTCATTTAAATCCTTTCGGACAAGAGGAGGCTAAAGTCCAACTCCTCACACCACTAACTAGGATGTGCGCTCGACATGGTTACTCACCTGAACATCTCCGTGAGCTCTCCTTTGCAGAACGCTACGACGACGGGGAAGCCGACGCAGGCCGGGACCAGGTAGAGCAGAGCGGGCTGCGGACAGACGGACAGACATGTTAACAACCAGCACACAGCCAGGGTCACCCAGTACACAAGCCAAGGAGCCCATCGACTCAACAAGACGAAGGATGGACACGTCGCTGATGTAACGTTTCCTGATGCTGAGCAAAGATATATGTAGCTTCACTTCCCAACTAGGGACGAAACGATGAACCATGGTAAAATTCTCCACGGTTATTATTACTGTACACATTTTAATCACCATTATAAACCGGAAAATACTGTCAACCAAAGTTAGTGACAGTCTCCCAGAAGCAGGCGTGCATGCGCAGAATGCAACGTGGGTTTGTTTTGGTCAATGAGAACGCGGAGGACAGCGCTGCGGAGATTTTTCAGTCAAGTATGGTCATATTTTAGTTTTTATAAGAGCGCTGAGGGAAACTTGATTGAAGAAAATGACCTTATAGTGAACGCAGGGTGAGTTAACTTTAAGCTTTGGTGTCCACTGAACATGAGAACACGTTACGCAGTTTAGTCAACCAACCAGCATCTCTTGTTCATTTTAAATCCAGCAGCTGTTAAATTAGTAGTAAAACGTCAGAACAGGAGAAACGCTGCAGACTCCTCTGTATTTACGTCGTTGGACTCACTGCAGTTACTATCGCTGTCTTCTAAAGACTTATTTGTTTTCATGTAATTGTGCACGGGGTCATTGAATTACCTTTATAGTATAAAATATAAAATCTTGATAAAGCACACTAAGATGGTTTTCATATGTTTACAAAAAGGTATTGGTTGTTATTTTATTGTTTATGCAAACAAAATGGTAACTTTATTTGTAGTTTTCAATATAAGAGATCGCCTCAGTTTAGCTTCGGCTCGCAATCGGCGTGAACAAAAACCACACGGTTCGACTATGGAAATCCTTAGTCATTTGGTGAAAAAAAAATCAGATCCCACAAAAGTACGTTTGTTGTCACCAGTCAAGGGCTGGGCGATATGGCCAGAAATGTTATCACGATAAAAACATTTCACATCATTAGATATCGATAATTATCACGATAAACGTCAAATCATTATTTCTTTCAAGTTTAAAGGCTGATTTTTGCTCCTGAAGAAACTAGATGGTTAATCACGTGGTTAAACTTAGGGGCCAAACAGTGAATCACTTGACAAATCTGAGGTGGAACATTCAAAACTATTTGCAAAACAAATTTGATTAGTAAAACTTTTCAGTCCTTTTTCCTCAACAAAATAAATATTTTAATAGCAAAATTAAGTGCTAATTTGTTCATGATTCAAAGGAATTAAACCAAATATTTATCGACGATATATTGAACATTATGTTGATATTGTGGAAAATTATATTGCAATAATTATCATTATTGTTTTATTGCCCAGCCCTATCACCACTCTGAGTTCCACTTTGGAGAGTTTCAGTGTCCCAGCGGTGTTTTAAATTAGGTTTTAGATGCTTTTCCGACAATAAAAGAAAGATTGCCGTGAGAAGAGTTACCCCCCCTCCCATTAGAAAGCCCAGGCTCTCAGCATATTCAGAGATCAACATCTACAGGAGGTTCATATGACTCTTCTGTCTACGCAGTAAATTCTTTAACAGCACATGATCCCATCTTTCCAGTCAGCACAGGGACCTGCACAGGTAGCGAGTTTGCAGTACCTGTGCGTGTTTGAAGGTGTGCATGACGAAGATGGTGAGGCCCAGTCCGAAGATGTAGGCCAGGAAACTGGAGTAGAAATACGTCCTGCTGTTCTTCTTTAGGCTGCAGGAAGGAGGACAGTTTGAACAAAACTTTACTCAATATACAAAAGAAAATCTTATCACGAGGAACATTTAAGCCCCGAAATCTACCTCAGCCACAAAGAGAAGACGGAGGCAGAGAGGAAGAACGAAGAGGCGAAGCAAAAGTATTTCTTATCCGATTACTTGATGGAATAATCTGTACGATACCCAATTACAAAAATAATCCCGATCTCTAGCAACAGAAGACGAAGAAGAGAGGACGGGCGTTACCTGACGTCGAAGCGCAGCAGCAGGGCGATGAATATACCCGGGATGACGATGTCACCCAGACCCAGCATGGCAAAGTTACTGGCTCCGAGTCCTTTCTCCAACAAGTCCTGAGGAAAGACCACTGGAGGGGAGAGAATCGCAGCAGGATCAGCCGTTACAACAGGTTAGATATGTAACAGTGACTGAAAACGTGACCAGGCGGTGACTCATGTATCCACAGACATTTGAACATTACGTCCTGCACAGGATCTCAAGTCTCACATACTTACATTTGATTGGTGCTTCGAAGGACTTGGCGACTGTTACCATCACGTTTGTTCCAAACACCTGGAGGGAGTGAGAGAAGGTCTCTTTATGTGGCTAAAAGTGAATGTTAGGACTCCAAATTCTTCATTTTAACTCTAACTTACAAATTTAGGAGTTAAAGTTGTTTCTCAACTTTCTTTTGACTTTATAACGCTTAAATTTCAGAGCTCCAGGAGGCGTTTTGGGTTTGTTTGTCTATTCTAGATGGTTCTTTTTAGAGCAACCAACATGAATCGATCTGGTGATTCCCACGTGCTGAAGAGTCTCTGAGAAATGTCCTGGATCTCTACCAGCTCTTCTAGACCTGAGCCTGACCTCTCCGTGTTTGATCTGGCCCTCAGCAGTGACTTGTCCCCCACAGTTTGATACCTTTGTTCTGTCTCTCCCCTCGTTTCCTGTCTGCTTCTTTACGATCAACTATTCAAAAATGCCTTTCATGCTCAAATTAATGTTATTTGGAATCTGATATGGTGAAGATTTGAAAATGAAGTCATCTTTACATTAATTGGACGTGTAGTGTTTAAAATGTTCTCACCCAGAAGACGTCGTAGACGAACAGCCCCCCCAGCAGGATGCAGCCGGTACTGACGTTGTTCAGGTGGAGCAGCTCCACTCCGTTCAGCGCAAACGCCAGGCCAAACAGGTTATTGGCTATCCAGTGCTGTGATGTCACAAAACAGGGACAGGTTATTGGCTATCTGGTGTTGTGATGTCAGAACACACAGACAGGAAAAAACAAAACCATTGTGATGTTTGTCAGTTAACCGTAATATGAACTTCTACTGTACCTTTTTGAGCAGGTACCAGACTCCCACCACACTGCTGATGAGCAGACACACCAGGTTCTTGGTGTCAAACTCATAGTTGACTATTTCTGCAGAGAGACGGAGACGCATGACTTTTCTAGGTCAGATTTAAATCTTAAAAAATAAATAAATAAAAGGCTTCATTCATCCTGAGTCAAGTTGGAGAGGCGGTGCAACCAAATTAAAAAAATGTATTTTCCCTGTCTGCCTCAAATGAAGGGGAGAGGAATTTAGTTTGTTGTGCTTACAGCTTTAAAAATGTCTAAAAAAAACCCCGTTTCCTTGATTCTCTGGAAGACTTTTCACACTTTGTAGTAAAGAACTAGTCCCTGCGAAAACTGTCTCAAGATCGACAAGAGTTTGTGTCTGGAAAACAGATGTTGCTGCTGAATAAGGATGAAACAGTTACCAGTTTAATGATAAACGTCTTACCTTCTTTGGACTCTCCAGAGCCCTGAGTGAAGAGCAGCTGGTACTGTTTATTTGGGAAAGAAGCTGGAAAGATTCTGGACATCAGAGGACTGAGAGAAACAAGACGAAAGTAGACATCACGTACAACATCGGTGCAGTCAATTTGCTTTGTCATGTCTCTCATACGTGCGTTGTGTTGCTTTACCTCATAGTGTGAGACAGAGCCAGGACGCCCAGGCCGAAGAAGTAGACGGACAGCAGCAGGTTGATGTACTCTTGAGAAAATACCTGCATCAAAACACAAAACAACAAAAGACTGAGTGAGGACAGGGCTACAGACTGCAACTATTTTGGTCGCATGTGTCATCTTTTTGTAAGCGATTAATAATTTCATTTGGTCCCTTTCGTGCCAGTGCAAGGTGATCATTAGCAGCTCTACAGCGCGACTATCTCACTTGCAAATGCACCTCAAGTGCAGACCGCAACCTACCGTAATCCCCCCGCTGATCGTTCAAAACATGAACGGGTGAAATCTCGTTCGGCGGGTCGCTCTGCGGCCGCTTGAGCAGCTCGTTATACAAAAACAGCGACAGAGATGTGGCGTCAGCTGAAGGGGTGAGACAGAAGGCAGCAGGGAGGAGATAAGTGAAGTTTGTGTTTGGCTAGCTGGCCATTTAGCTCCATCAGGTGCCTTCTGTTGAAACCTTCAAGTCGATGCGCTCTGCGACCAACCAATCACAGCCTGGATGAGGCGGGACATCAAATAAAGTTTGCCGTGCTGCAGCAAACTTTCAAATGTTGAACTGATTGTTCTGCATGCATGAATGTTAGAATTATTGACGAGTTAGCACTTAGCATTACCAAATTAGAGACCAACTCTACCACCACTCTGTAGAGTCAAGATTTTTCCTGCACAAGCATTTAATGAATAAAAACTACCCCAAAAAATGAAAGTGCTCTAACTGGAATTGATATTTTACATGTGTTGAGCTATACAGTATACTAATACATAAAAATATTAATATTATACTAACAGTATATTATTAAATGAACATTATACTCTCATTTCATGTTGTGCATTGAGCCTCTGCAGTGGACAGATGGGGATCAGGTGGTTACAGTACAAGTGGGAGTGCAGTGCTGTACTTATGTTGTAGGCAACGTGGCCAATGTGCAGGCAACTATAAAATTGTTACCTGGCAACACAGTTTTGGCTTAAAACTTTGAATTTGCACAACAAAAGAAAGAAACACAAAACTTGCAGGGACTGATGCATCACCCGAAACACTGAGCCCCTCTACACCTCTTACCAGCGGTCACTGATTTACACCTGTACCGAGAAAAAAGAAAAAGGGGTGCAACCAAATCATGTGCAGGTGCGACCAACACAGAGAGTTGGCACCAGGCCCCTGGAGGATGGCTGAGGAAACCCCGAATTACCTTAAAGAAGAGGTAGAGCCCGAACAGAGTACAGCTGGCGATGATGGGGAACCTCGCTGCGTCTCGACTGGTGATCGTCTCTGGCATGTCTGCTGAATTCTGGGGAGGAGAGATAAATACAGAGAGGAGGGGGAGCTCATTTAAAGAGGGAGGTGGTGGCTTTTAGTGATAACGTGCTGAACAACTAGTCAACTCAAAACAACACGAACTCCGTTAAACTTAGTTTAAACAAAAAAGTTAGAAAAGTTCCGCCACCAACAACAAGTTTACCTGAACAGGAAGTTAGTTCAGTCCAAACACTACTGAGGACTATCCATAATTTATTTAGACTTGCTGGATAAAACAAACAGCAATTCGCCGACTGCTTTTGTTTCCCGACACGTCTCACTTATTTTTAGTGATGTCAGTGTTCCCAGATCTCAGCTATTACGTTGTTGTAGGGATGGGGATCGTTAATAGTTATTGATACCCTTACTGAGACTGCTTGATGATCCGATTCTTTATTTGGCGACAGTTATTTGGTAAAACCAGACCCAACGGGCATGAGGTTCGTCTGAGGAAAATATTCAATGTGCGATAACATGGTTATATATGGAGATGACATTTGACTTGTGATAAATAAATATTGAAGTGCGCATATTAGCTGCCTGGTTGTTTTTAAATGAATTTAATATTTGAAATGCAGCTAAATGTTGTTTCTACAACAGCAAAGTCACTATAAAAACGTATAATCTGACATCACAATAGTGAGTGACGTTTAGAAAGAATACCATCAGTCTGTATCAGTCCCTCCTCCTCCGCGTTTATCTTGAAACGCAAGTTAAATCAGATTTGACGCTGGAGACACAGCGTTACGTCCAATGACCTGCTAGTCTCGATAGCAGTATCGATAAACTCGGACCTTAGTGATTTTCGGGTTGAGAAACTGTAGAAACGGGTCCTTTTAGAACCGGATGAGAGTGTTTGTTGAGTAATTAACCAGAACTATCATTAAAAGTACTGTTCCTTGGATAAAAACACCATCATTCAGCATTATTTTAAATTAATAAAAAGGGCCATTTAAATGTATTTTCTTTCATGTAGTTTTACAAATTCAGTCCTGTAAAATTAGGGTCTTGGTTATTCCCCTGACAAACAGGGCAGCAAAACTGAGCGTTTATCATCATTACCGAATATTCTGTCTTTTTTTTCCTTTTTTTTTTTAAACAATGATGGAAAAATCTGAAGGCTGTCCATCATCATTATTATTAGAATAATACTAATAAATTTGTAGAGCACTTTTCAAAAACAAGTTACAAAGTGCTTTAAACAAGTGTAAAGACAATAATACCCAAAAGACAAAAATCCAAACAAGTCCATTCTGACAGATTAAGACTCTACGGTGAAGTCCAGAAACTCCCATGCAACACTGTCAATAAGCACCTGTATCACACCTACACAGCCTAAAAAGAGGGACTGCTGCAACGGAAGGTGACGGACGAGCAAGTAATACCGATAACGTTTATCATCCAGCAGCAGCAGCGAGGTAAAAATCCTTCATCTGCAATAATCTGTTCTGTGTAGGGCTGCAGCTAACGATGATTTTAGTATTCAAAGCTTCTATAGATTATTTCAACGATTCATCGAGTGTCACCCGAAGCCGGTCTCCAAACCACGTTCTGTCAAGAAATCACACGTGAAATGTGAAACGGGAAATGAGCGATCCTGCACAGGAAACAGCTGTTTGTTATTATAAATATAACAGTTATAAAGACAAAGAATCTGGGTGAAAGGGTGGATTAGCAGGGATTGACTGAGCTACAGAGAGCTGGAGGCGAGTTAAAAGGTGCAGCTCGCCGACAGCCAGTTAACTCCTGACTGTGAGGTCACAACTCGCACGTGGTCACATTTCCAGCTGAGGTCTGCGGCTTACTTTGGCTTCAGCTCAACTTCATCAACTTCGTCACTGTTGCAAGTTTATCACCACAAGCTTGGCTTTCCCTTGGTTTCATCTTCTGCAATCATCTAACACGTCTCTGTACATTTTTATTTGCTATTCACATCACCTGTCACCGATCGATCGCTGCGTTCCATCACATCAATCAAACGCTTTTGTGGCGTCAGCAGCGATCAGCTGATTTTACTGACGGAGCCTCCGGCTGCAGCAGCGGCTGTTCAGGTGTAGTTTGTTTGATCTGCTAGACGTGCGGCCTCTTTTCCTCGCTGTAGTGTAGTTCAGAGACTTGTTTAAACGGACTGCTTTCTCGTTTTATACTTGTGCCTGATGTCTTTTCGGAGGTTTGCAACTCACCACTAAAGGAAAGAGCGCTCCCAGAGATCTTTCAATTCAGTTTATTGATCGAAAGTTAACAAAATCATTTTCCGTTGTTTTTCTTTTGGTCACTAAACTATTTCACTCCTCTCTCATTCACAAATAAAATCACTCCCAAGCTGTAGTCTTTCCTCTTATAGGCCAATACTACCAGTGAGGCTGAACGAATTAGGATGAGGAGTGATGTGATACAACTTTCCCAATACTTTTTATGCTGCAGTTATTTCAAATAAGAAAAATAAAATGGATAACCTTGGTTGTCCATTACAACAATCTAAAAAAAATAATAAGCCACTATGGCTTCAACAGGTGGTTTTATGCAAGGTATCGAATAAAGTACTCTATTGCTAATTTTAATTTATACCCAACCCTAATCCTGATGCATCGAGGAATCAAATTGAATCGTTGACCTGATAATCGTAATCGAATCGTGAGATCAGTGAAGAGGCACACCCTTATTAAATAGGCTGTATGGCTAATTATCGTTAAAAAATTGAATAACTGGTAACAATAGATTGATTTTTGAATTTTTTTAGGACCCTGTCTGTCAAAATGACGGACAACGGGAAAGTCTAACAGCCTCGGTCATAAAACAGTTGGGGGAACCGTCCTCCATCTTGTTAACGGTTGTCAGGTTTTAAAATTCACACTAACCAGGAAGAAGCAATGTCCTGTATAGAGTAACAGTCCATCATGAGATCAGTGTTTTGGGTTGTACAGCGTTGATGGAAAAATGACAGAGATAAGACTTGTTGACTTTGTAAAGAGCAACTCCACAACCACCCTGAGGACCTGACCTTTATACTCTTTCTAAAACCGGCACAGCCTCAGTTCCCACTGACATAAAGGTGAGTACATCAGTCTTTAGTACTGAGATTTATCCTCCTCCTGTCCCTCCACACTCGGATCTGAAATGACTACAGCAGACTGACAGGAGACCCTGAGAGAGAAAGTCACCTCCATCTATATTCTCCTCCGTCTACTCCCCTGAGAGAGAAACTGGGACAGACGAGAGGAGAGGAGGGGAGGGAAAAAGAAAGAAAGAGGTAGATGATAGAAAATGACAGGAAGAGGATCCTTGATGCAGCAGTAAAAACTAAGCGCTGTGTTAAATCAAAGTCCCACCACTCAGCAGCCATCTTGGTAACTTTTCAGACTAACGGCATCATGCCCCTCTCTAAATGAACGGGGTGAGAGCCATGACTGCACCTTCTCCAGCGTTAGGTAGTTTTAACAGGTCGAATTTTGCACGCCTGCCGAGAATTGCGTGCAGTTCCAAATACTGCTTTTAAACGCTGTAATATTCTTTGTGGGGTAAATGATTCGAAGTATATATATCATGAACATTAAGAGCTGTTGATATTTTATTACAGTTAGTAGAAGCAGCATTCGTTGAGATTTAGCAAACAAATATGTGGTGATAAGCGCATTTGATCAAAGAGCACAGCAAAGGGTCTGAAAAGGTCCTAAACAGGTGGATGCACAGAACAGATGTTGTAGGCTAACTGTTGAGATTTGTGTCCACCTCTTAAAAGAGTTACCACACGCGCGGTGCGTGCAATTCTCGGCAGGCATGCAGAATTCGGCACAACACCTGGCGCTGCAAACCGTCGCCATGATGTCACATCACCATGAGATGACATTACTAAGGCGGCGGCAGGTGCCGAGTCCGGCGCATGTGGTTGTTTTTCCTCTGTTTGCACAAACCACCTTTTGCCCGATTTTATTCCACGCTGCTGCAGTCACCTGCAGCTCACATTAGACTATGGAGGCAGCGAAAGTCAGCCAAAGTCATCTCGAACGCACCTATTGACTACCAGTTATGCGGCCCGCCCAGGTAAAGCCTATGTTTTTATTTATTTGATTGGGACAGTACATGTTAATGAACAAACATGTCGGATTGTAGCTACAAGCTAATTTCCATCCGTAGTCCCACAACAACGTGTGGGAAACACTGAATGTATATTCTACAGACGTCGACTAGAGGCGAGAATCATCTCCGCCCAGCTGATGCGACTCAGCACAGGCTACGCCATGATAGTAAATGTAAAGTTACTTTACTGTTAGTCACTTAATATTAACTTCAGGACCTTTCAAATTATTTTTCGGGACAAAAAGAAAGTTAGTCTGGAGCGCTGTTTGACGAGGCGCAAATACCTGCAAGGATTACATTGCAGCCTTGTTTCACTGCTGCAGCGCCCTCGCTCAGAACTGGACCAGTTTCAAAAAATAAAAATGTTGTCCACATTAGTCCCAAACACCAAAGGTCCCATTAAACCCCACTAACACACTCCCAGTGTTCATGCATTTGCTGGTGTGTTGGTGCTGTAGACAAACAGTGCAGTGAGTGTGTGTGTTCGGTGATCTCAGCGGCTCTCATACTCACTCTGAACCCAGAATCGTAATCATTGTCTCCGAGCTCCTACAGACAGACGGACGGACGGACAGACAGGATGGATGGACAGACAGGTGTGTAACAGACAGACAGGGAGAGAGAGGGATCAGATCGGCAACAAAGAGGAGGACTTGAAGCAGCGGCCCAAAATTAAATCAAGTGTCAGAAGCAGGAAACAAAATCATCACTGTTGAACTCTGAGAGGAGAACAGGTTTAATGATTTAGAGATTGTTATGGTGTCTGGCCTCATTAATCAAGATGGCCGACAGTGGAGAGCGACAGGAAGGATGGAGAGAGGAAGGACGACATGCAACAGGAGCCGGTTTCAAACCCACACCGAGACCTTTTCTAAAACTTTGTCTCTGCTGGCCACCGTACTCTCTCTCACTGACACTTATAATAAAGCCTGTATTTTCAATCATGATCATCTGTCACCACTCAAAACAACAATTATCCATCTATAGTTCTTCACTTTTGCATGCAAACGTATCATAAAAAGGTTCAAACGGCTCTGATCAGGCCTGCAAGAAAAACGTAGATCACTTACTGATGGTGAACGTAAGGGCCTGGACACGACTTACTAACGACTCCAGAGGGGGATTTTCCTTCACAATCCAAAAGACTAATGCAGATTTTACACAAGTAATAATGCCATTATAGAGAAAACACAGACAGCTTTCACTCAAATGAAAGTTTACTAGTAGAAGATTAAAGAAAAATCTGCTATCTAACTTTGTAGAAATTAATTTAACGGTGACGACACATAAAATTAAAAACGCTTTCACAAGCTGCGCAGAAATAATGTTATAAAGAGCCTCAAATGAAGCTAAAGAGCAACCAATACAATAGGCATAACACCTGTGAGAGTCGACTGCCCGCCCCCCTTTACAGGCTTTACAGTATTTTAAAGTACACTATAAACTCTGATCATCCACTGTAGACTTTGACATGTCATCAGTATCAAAATACACTTAAAGTGCCAAAAGTAAAATGACTTTTTATGCCAAATAACATGATTATAATTATTGATGAACTAATGTGTAACCATCAAGAATGTTGAAACTGAAGGTGGGCTAATTCTTACAGGTTTTATAGACTCCCAGGTATCTTAATCTACAATAATATACCTTCATTTAATAGTTGACTTATGTAAAGTACAACTACCTCAAAATTGTACTTAAAGACAGTAGAGCTTCCATTCCAGCTTCTTAAATGTGAATATTTTCTGGTTTCTTTCCTCTTCTATGACAGTAAACTGAATATATTTGGGTTCGTGACAAAACAGGACGTCATCTCTTGGGCTTTGGGAAACCCTGATTAATATTTGTCACCATTTTCTGAAATTTTATAGATCAAACAACTAATTGATTAAACAGTTTGAGTCATTGTCAAAGAAAAAAAGTGTCAAAAAATTCTGTGATGTGAATATTTTCTGGTTTCTTTCCTCCTCTATGACAGTAAACTGAATATATTTGGGTTCGTGACAAAACAGGACATTTGCAGACGTCCTCTCTTGGGCTTTTGGAAACACTGATCGACATTTGTCACCATTTTATAGATCAAACAACTAATCGATTAAACAGTTTGAGTAATTTTTAAAGAAAAAAAGTGTCAAAAATTCTGTGATGTTAATATTTTCTGGTTTCTTTCCTCCTCTATGACAGTAAACTGAAGCTATTTGGGTTCTGGACAAAACAAGGAAACACTGCTCAACATTTAACAGACTAAACTACTAAAGGATTAATGGAGAAAATAAAGTATAGATTAATTAATGAAAACAATCATTAGTTGCAGCCTGGAAGCCAGTAAATGTACTTGAGTTCCTCCCACCACCGCCTACCTGTTTTCATCACACTGAGCTGCTCCACGCTGCAGAGGAGTCTTTCCCGTGAGCTCACACACCACAACTGCGCATGTCCACAGAAAAACCCCAAAACAGGGCCACTGTCTTGTCCACGTACACCTGACGCAGTCTGACCTCCTCTTACCACCCGTTTTATCCCACACATTGATTTAGAAAGTTATTCTTGCTCGTCGTCTGTTTTTTTAACTCTTTATTTACTGTTTTTGTTTGTTTGATTGAGATTTTGTGAAAGTGTCCCGACGGCGCGTCAGCCAGGTTAAAAAAAACAACACACACGTCTGGGTACGGAAGCCTGAATGAAACACCTGGGTGACCGTTCGAGTGGACAAACCAACTGGAAGTCTAAACACAAGTAAACAATACTTTTGTTCTCGACCCTTTAAAAAGGCCCTGAAAACTGGACATTACCAGCCTTTAAACACAACAGAGGATAAAACTAATTAGATGTGTGAAACTAGTTGACGTATAAAAGATCAAACGGCTCGTTTGTAACAGAAAATAACCGTTAAAAAACAAACAGCTGTCGCGTTAACGTCCGTTTGGTCTAATTTCTGAACGGAAACCCGCCATTTTTACAATTGTGTTGACAGTAATAACTTTAAAGCGTTATGTAAATACATCCTAGACTTTTATCCGTGTTTAAGTTGAGGAATTTATTATTTTAAGACATTTTAGACCGGTTGACAATCACCGGTTAGCTAGCCGTTAGCTGAACAAGCTAGCCGGCGGATGCTAACGGCGGACGGGCTGAAGTGAAACCGCATCACCGAGGTGCGTTCACGGAGCTGGGCGGTGCAGTTACCTTAGATTTGGAGCAGGTGACGGACCGCAGGGCTCCGAAAAAGATGGGCAGCAGCGCCATGAACACCAGGCTGCCGTATGCCAGCGCCGTGCCCTCCGGGGTGGCCACGAATTTAGCCGTTACGTTGAGCACCTCGGTCCCGTTGGAGTCCGTGGCGTTCAGGGCGTCCAGGATAGCAGCGGCGGCGGCCTCCGGGGCCGAGTCCGGGACTGGTTCTGCCTCAGACATGGTTCTTCAGACACGGGCTTTCAGGGGACCGCGGGCGGTGCTGGTGCTGTGGTACAGACTGGTAGACCGGATAGAGGTGGAAGCTGAGGCTGTCGCTCATTCATCTACAACGGTGCAGCCGGAGACTCGCTAAGGCCACGTTTCCTAAAGCAGTGAGCACAGAGGGGGCGGGGAGCGAGCAGGAGGTGTCACTCCGCCGCGGATTCCGGGGACCGTAAACATCTCCCTCTTCTTCTCTGTTTGTTGGCGACTTTAAAGGTGCATACCGCCACCTACCGTATCGGAGTCTGTTGGCACTATCTCAACTGAATTCTACTTAAATCTAAATTTAATTAATTGTATATTTAAAGAGGTGGTATTATGCTCATTTTCAGGTTCATAATCTCATTCAGAGGTTTGTACCAGAGCAGGTTTACATGGTTATATTTTTGTCATACAGCACATTGCTGCAGCTCCTCTTTTCACCCTGTGTTGAAGGCTTCGTTTTAGCTGTGGAGTGATACATCTCGTCTCTAAATGATCTTTGTTGGGAGTTGCACATGCTCAGTTCTTAGTTAAGGACTACTAGCCAATCAGAAGCAGAGAAGGGCGGGTCAGCGAGAAGCCGGTAAACAGCTCGGGTTCAGCCGTACGTGTTGCCGACCAGCTTGGCAACATGGACTGGAGCGAGAGTTTCAGAGCGGTGAGTTATTAATCTGTATCCATAAAGTTTTAACTGAGCTCTGTCTCTACATCACAGGAACAACTTTATGTCCACTGACTGCCTGGAGGGTAGCTAGTGTTTGGAAGGGAGAGGAGAGCTGTGTGCTGCAGCTCGCTGTTTCTGAGGGCGTGTCGGAGTAGCCGCTTTGCGAGCGTTACATGAGGCGCGTTTAGCTTTCATCCCTGTGAAGTCACAAAGCGGCTGGACTACAAACGAGCTGTTTTCAGTCAGTTCAGAGCTTTCTGTGGGAGATGGGAACTCCCTTTGGGCTTTTTCACTTTTCAGACCTGTTACATGCACAATAACAGTTTATAACTCAATAAAGGAGAGGGGAAAAATGGCAATAAGCATAATATGACCTCACATGTTTCCTAACCCTGTCTGTATTATGGTTAGAAGGTAGGTTTATTTGTCACATTACAACAGGCTGTAAAATTTGGGGAGGGGGTCGTTTAACCCCCAAAAGCTGGGGAAAATACCTTTTCCCTAAAAAAAATAAAAATAAATTTAATTAAACACAAATTAATTTGTAGTTATTTATTTTACTTTATAATATATTACCATAGGCATAGCCATCCTCAAAATACAAGAAAATAAATTACATGTTCTTTCTTGTGTCAGCAAACACTGAGCTTAGGGGGGCTGTCTTACCCCAAACTACCCTACAGTCATACAAAAGCATCATAAAATGGTAAACAGAAAGAAGCTATAATCAGTGGAGCAGTGCTGAGGATGATTTAGAGTCTGATAGCTTGGGGGGAAAAGCTGCTCTGCAGTCTGGCGGTGCAGCAGTGGCAGGGTGGGTACTGTGCTTTAGGATCCTCTGGGCTCTGCAGGCTCCTCACCTCACCGATGATCTTCTGAGCAGTTTTAATCACCCGCTGCAGAGCCCTTCGGTTCTGGGCCGTGCACATCCCATCTTAGTGATGTTCCCAGTCAGGATGCTTTCTGTTGCTCCTCTGTGAAGAACCTAGCACAGGAATTTAGCCTTCTTAAGCTTCCTCAAGAAATCCAGTCGCTTCTAAGCTTTCTTCACCAGCGTGGAGATGTGACTCGACCATGTCAGCTCCTCTGTGATGCTGATTCCCAGAAACCTAAAACTGTTCACCTGCTCCACCTCAGCTCCACTGATGTAGACAGGAGTGTGTGTCTTTATCTCCTTCTTCCTGAAATCAACGATCAGCTCCTTGGTGTTGCTGACGTTGAGCAGTAGGTTGTTCTCTGCAAGATTATGAATTAGGAATGATATGAAGTCTCATCCTTGTATGAAACGATGGTGGTGTCGTCCGCAAACTTCAGTTCTCGCCGTGTCGGGGATGCAGCACTGAGTGGCAGCTCCGTCACTCTGACGTCTCTCCATGTGTATACTAATAACAATAATAAAGTATGTCTTCTTCTATTTTGAATATTGTTCTCTCCCTCTGGCCAGGGAGTCAGGCTAAGTATTTGTTCATTTTCTTTTTGTATTTACTCTGTTAGGTAATTAACAGACTGAATATTCTGTGGTACTTTGATGATTTCTGGGGAAAAGAGAGGAAACATCATGTTGCGCTCAGGTTTCCCCTTGGCCGGGCGTAACATAACAGGTTCTGAGGTTTTGGGTCATCTGCTTTCTTTCTCTCTCATATTTCTGAGTGAATGTTTACCTATTTTGTGTGCACAAATCTAACTTTTAATTTTTGTCTGCCCCTCAGACTTCATAAGTGCTGCTGCTGCTCAAATACATTTAGTTTAATATCATAGAAGACTAAGAAAACCAGCAAATATTCACCCCTAAAAGGCAGAAAAGCAGTGAAGCATCGAGTCACCTGCTCATCTGTGTCGCGCTGTTTGCCATCTAACAACCCTTAAAGGAAGTACAAAGTGTGTTGCAGAGAAGAGGAAAAGACTGAGGAGGGAAATGTTTTTTTATTAAAATTAAATATAGCCACAGCTACACCTACTGGCAAAAGTTCTTTTAAAACTACTTTTCAAGTCTCCTATTCAGGAAGTTGGGAGCGTTGTCTGAACATGGCTGTCATCAAACACGGTTTCCTTACTGGATGCTTATAAAACAAGTCAAACTTGTCTCGCAGACACTCTGCAGTCACACCGGGAGGCTGAGCAGCAAACGGCTTCCTTAGGACTGAGATAAGTGAAACCAGCCAGGCACCAGTGTGCATGTTTAGCTGAAGTGTGACACATCTTCACAAAAATAGAAAATCACTGCAGTGAGGGAACTTGCTGTCTTCTTCATTGGTGGAACAAGTTGAACCACAGCAGCGCCTGCAGACGGAAAGAAAAACACTCACATCCAAAGCAGCTGCCCTCAAAAACCCCAAATGTATGTGATGTAAAAAACAGATCAATAAATCAGTAAATCCAGAGAGAGTGCAGCTGAACGGTAGATATGTGTCTAAATGTGTTAATACAACGTGTGGTCAGAATCAAAATGAAGTGAAATGCAAATGCTGTTGGTCAGCTACTGTTTCATAAATGTACCAGAAAGAAAGAACTGAGCTAAAGAGTAAAGTGACTGTGTGTTCAAACAGGCTGGTGGAGAATCTAAAATCTGCTGCCTAACGTTAGTAAAGCTCTGAATGTCTGAGGTTCGCTGTCCTGTGGGGATTTTGTGGGAAATAAATCACTTCAGTATCGGTGATTTACTGTCGTGTCCTTTTATTTAGCCAAACTAAACATTTTCATTTGATTGTTTTTGTCTCGTCATTCCACACGTATAAATGTTTTAGACATCTACATATGTAAATTAGCTAATTTTATTTAATGTCTGCCATTGATAAAACAAATCAATCCTTTCCCTCAAAATCACATTTTGTGTGGGAGAATGTGTCTTTAGTGATTTGCTAGAAAAGATGCTCACTGACGAGGTTCCTACTTCACCTCTTACTAGACAACACACTGAAACAGTCTGGTTTAAACGTAAAGCCACGCAGTATTATTTATTGCGTTGCCTTCGTTCTCTTGATATGAAACGGTGCAGCTGCTGCTGTGTTTTTGTTAGTTCATTTATATTATTTATTTTTTTATCCAGGTTGCTGCTCTCTTAGTTTACGTTCTATGTTTGGAGAGGTTTTTTTTAAAGCCAGCCAGCTGACCCAGAGCAGCAGTTAGACAGCTCTCTGTCTCAGAGAGGATTGTGGATATTTTTATGTCGAGGCTTAATGTGATGTGAGATGGTTCAATCATGACAATCTCAGTGCGTGCTCTGCAGCCTTTTTAAAGTAGTAGTTTTACTCCCAGTCTGTCCCTAATTCAGATGTATAAAACAGCAGCATGTTTAGCTGTGAATGTGTGAAGTAGCCTGTAACGGATTCAAAACTTCTGATATGGTCATTTAATAAACTCTAAAGTAGTTTTACACACTAATCCTGTTGGCTCTGTGGTGACCCCTAGTGGTGAGGGTTTGTTCATCAGCAATAATAATTTTATTTCTTCAACTCAAAGTATTCAGTGCCAGACGAAGCTGTGAATAAACTACAGAAAGGATTAAAAATCATTTAATAGAAACCTGTGTGGAGGATTGTGTGTAATGATGACGACATCTTAAGCATTTTAATTTCAAAATAACTTTACTGAACATTAAAAACACATGAATGAATGATTGTCCTACAATATATCCTGACATGTTGCAGATATTTACATCAGTTTCTGTACAGAGTGGGACAGACCTGAGGCGGCTACTAAAAAAAAACAGAATGATGAGGAAATAGTACCTAAATTAACAACAGTACACTGATTCACCTGCTAAAAGAGGTGTAACACAGTTACTACTCAGTTGTTCTTGCTAAAAAATTAATAAACACAAATTAATTTAGACTCTTTGCACAGGCGCATCTTCTCTTCCATTATTACTGTTAATATAAAATTAAAAAAGTATTTGGCATCTTCTAAATGGCACCAGAAGGAGGTTTTACTGTGGGCATGAAGCATAAAATCTGCCATGTGAGTGTAAATCTAGTGACATCTTTGATTTAAAAGTCACCAATACAAACATTTAAACCAACTTCAACTCTGCAGACTCCAGCAGGTAGCTACTGTGTCCAGCGGATGATTGTCAGACTATCTTCAGCCGGGTTTCTGCCCTGCAGCGCCGAGGTGATCGATTGTGTCAACTTTTCTTTTCCCACAACACACGGACGTGCTGATTAATAACTGAAGCGGACGTACGATTGGATCAGACAGATCCCGACGCCTCTACTTCAGTTATCAGTGTGCCATCTGATGGTTTAAAACACTTGAGCACCACTGCTTTTTAGTCAGACCAATTTTAATCTTTCAGCTATAAAAGCCTCCTCTATACACAACCTATCGAAAGTTTTATAAGATCCCCATGTTTGTAGTTTGTTTTGAAATCTAAGTAGCTCAAGTCCAGTGAAAAACCTTAAATGGTACCAAAGTAAGCAGCAAAGTTAAAAACGTTTGTCACCAAAACAGACATTTTCAAATCTAAAATTAACAATTAAATGAAGGAGTTTAGTTCGTTATTTCACTGTAGGATCAATCGATGACCAGCTGCTCCGTCTTCCTTCATTAATATTCTATATAATATAGTAAAAATAAAGGTTGTGAGGGTGTAATAACAGGCTGTTCCAAGGTTTTTACTGTAGGAATGTGTTTTATTTTCTTCCACTGCTGCAGAATAACCAAAGAAGGTAAAGTTTAAGAGAAATAATGTAAATTACAGGGATATCTTTGGGGATCAAGTAATGAGTTAACAAGTTATTCTGAAGCAGTGGAAGGAAATAACACATTTCTACAGTACAGATCAGATGAAGGTCTTATTTTTACTATATTATATATAATATTAATGAATGAAGACGGAGCAGCTGGTCATCGGCTAATCCTACATTGAAATAATGAACAAAACTTCATTTAATTGATCATTTTAGATCTGGAAATGTCTGTTTTGGTGGCGTAGACGTTGCTACTTAGATTTACATACAAACTAGAAAAATGGGAGGTGTTCTAAAACTTTGTACATATTTATCTAAATATATCAAACATGTTTTTGTGGCATCGGGACTTAAATGCGATCGTTCTCTTTAGGATCTCCAGCTTCTTTCCTTCGGCCTCTCTGAAGAGAACAGAAATGACGAAGCAGAGAAGAAGTAAAATCTTACTGCTATGATTCGTTATCTTAAAATAATAATGGTTTGATATCTGGAGAGAACAAGGTAAATAAAGTTGGACTGAAAAAATAAATGAGCACCCCAAAAAGCACGAGTCATCTCGATATTCTAAGGAGATAATAAAGCATTTATCAGCCAGAAAACAGGTGTGTTGTTTTTACTTTACTTTGGTCATTTGACCGTGATCCAGGTGAACTGACTAAAAATCTGTGTGGGTCAAACCACGTTAAAAGAAAGCTCATCACTCCTTTTATTGATGAGTGCAGGCGAATAGACTGTCTGGATTAAAAAAACAAAAAAAAACAAAAAAATAAGGCTTTTAGAGGATTTACACCCCAAGACTCAAGCAGACGATCACAGAGCGGACAGGAAGGACTGGACGATCGCCGACATGCTGAGGAGGATCAGGAGGGGCATGGCCTGAAGCAGAAGGGCGGAGCTCTTTAGTCTCACCTCCACAGGTAAGTGGTCACTTAACGTCAGAGCCTGGCAGACAAAAGCAACAGAGCACAGAGTCAAACATCGAAAGTTTATATGTGCACTTTGAATTTAAACAAATGCCACACATTTGGAAGAAAAGGTGAAAGTTTAAAGAAGAATGATGCAGTTTCTGCTTCTTTTACCAGCTTGACCTCAGTCCTCTGTAGCCGGGCGCATAGTTCAAAGATTAAGGCAAATTTTAACCCTGAATTGGTCGCCCCTGACTAACGGCGGTTGTCGTTTGACGAGAAGTTTAAGGTTACGACGCCCGATTATTCACCTGAACGCTGAACAATCTGGCTCTCGGACGATCAAATGGATATCTGGCAGGTCAGAAATGTTTGTCCCCCATTTATAGTAGCACTACAGAAGGTAACATGGCCTCTTTCTTTTTGTCCTCAGCATTATTGAGGATGCAGCCATCTTGTTTGAATAAACTTTACTGTGGTGTCTGTGCCGGTTTTACACATCCGCACAGGCCGAGCACAAACATGGCAGGTTTCAGTCAAGCAGGAAGGAGGACTAAAACGTTTATTGTGAGTTAACACGAGATCAATAAAAACGACAGGGTCAGTTTCAGCTCACATCTCTTTTTTTTTAAATCAGCAATTTAAATATGTCTGGTGTTGTGCTCGTTTTCCCTGGCTAAAAAAAACAAAACAGAGCCAATGAGAGCTTTGTTGGCGGGATTATGAATAAGGGCTACAAAAATGAAGATGATTACATGACAATTAGATGTTTACAGCTGTACACAAACAATAAGTTAACTGCTCCTCACAGCTTCTATGGCAGCGACTGAAACATTGACGAGATGGATAAGTCAGTTCTTGCTGATTGGCTAGTGCTGAGGCTGATGGGCACGTCATTAGATCTGCAGGTATTTGGTCATAAAACAAAGTGTTGGACACATTAACATGTTGAGACCCGGTTTCAAAATTTCTCAAAACCCGAAAATCAATAAGATTCGAGCTTATCGATACTGCTGTCGAGACTTGTATGTCGTTGTAACTCAATGTAACCTTATGTCTTGAGCGTCAAATCTGATGCGCAATGGATAAGAAAATCATCATACACAGCAGCAGCAGAGCGAGAGGCGGCGCCGTCGCAGTGGAATATGGTGAGGGTTAAATTAGCTCCAAACTACTGTAACGTTAGTTGATGACAGCTACGCTCGTTACAGTAAGTACGTTCAATAAAAACTTTACAAGTAAAAAGACAATACTTTATCAATACACCTGTCTGTAAGGTAGCGTTAAACATGTATAAAGGGTAAATTTAATTATCTCTGTCCTCAGTATCTCATCCTGTATGTTTTATACAAGCACAGCTAACGCTAGCTTGGCATTAGCCAAATGTTAAAAACAAGCTAAATAGAAATGTCTGGAGCACAGACTAGTCTGTAGTCTTAAAAACTCAGCTGCTGGCTGAGACAAACCAGCCGCTCGTCCTACCTGCAACGTTACCTGCAGGCAGCGAGAGACGAGGAGGGACTGATACAGACTAGTGTTATTCTTTCTAAACATCACTCAGTACTTGTGATGTCAGATAAAGTTATTGAGTTACTTTGCTGTTGTAAACATTAATGTTGCTGCATTAGAAACAACATTTAGCTGTATTTAAAATATTAAATTAAAAAAAACCAGGCAGCTAATGTGTACACTTCAATATATGTTTATCGCAAGTGATATGTCATCTCAATATATCACGATATCGCACATATTTTCCTCACACAGTCCGTGCAGGCCTACCTCATGCCCGTTGGGTCTGGTCTTACCAAATAACCATCACTAAATAATATTAAAGTATCGATAAAGAATCGTATCGTTAAGCAGTCTCAATATCAATAAAAATTAACGATCCCCATCCCTAGACCAGATGATCGCCCAAGTTATTACAATTGTTCCGGAGGGAAACCCGAAGGTCTGAACCACATGTCAACACAACCCATCCAGGACCGCAGGGACCGTGACTGATTGTAGGGATGGAGTAGATCTGTGAGGTGCAAGTCCATGGAGAGATTTGTACATCAGGAGAAGGGATTTTAAATTTGATCCGGGACTTAAATGGCAGCCAGTGAAGCTTCTTCAGGATGGGAGTGATGTGGAATCCAAGTTTTGTGTGGGTGAGCATCCTAGCCGCAGAGTTGTGGACACACTGGAGTCTGTCAGTAGCCTTGCTGGACAGACCGAACAAGATACCGTGACAGTAGTCAAGTTGGGAGGTGATGAAGGAGTGGGTACTTGAGGGGATGCAGAGATTGAGCAGCCATCCACGTCCAGTGTGATCTCAACCTTTTTGAGAAGTGAATGCAGGGCAAACACCATGAGTTCTGTTTCGTTTTTGTTCAGTTTGAGGAGGTCACTGTCCATCCAGTTCTTTATGTCCTTCAGGCAATTGATAAGCGGTAGTGGTGGAAGGGGAGTAGTAGATTTAGTGCTGATGTAGAGCTGGGTGTAATCACCGTAGCAGTGGACGTGTAGTCCATGTTTCCGGTTAATCATTCCAAGAGGTAGCATGATATTAAATAGTAGTGGGCCAAGCACTGATCCTTGAGGCACGCCGTGTGAGACTGGCGCCAATTCAGAGCAATGCCCTTAAGGGTGATTTATTGTTGCCGGTTGGTGAGATAGGATTGAAACCAAGAATACGAGTGAGGTCAATGAGTTTGGAGAGGTCAATGAGAAGAATGGAGTGGGAGACTGTGTCGAAGGCTGCAGAGATGTCGAGAAGAATTAAGATGCTGACATGGCCAGAGTCAGCTGCCATGAGAAGGTCATTTGGGATTTTAATGAGGGCAGTTTCTGTGCTATGATGTGTCCTGAAACCAATCAAACGTTTGTGAAAGCTGTAGTGTATATTGTTTATCAGCACTTTGTGTACTTGTGACTTGTCGTACACAAAGTGCTGTCCAACTGCTTTCTGTGGACATGTAGCTTAAAGGAGACCTATTATACTGCTTTTCCAGTCCTATATTATAGTTCTGTGACGCCTGTATAGCAGCTTTGCATGATTCAAAGTGCAAAAAATATTTAATTTTGTTATACTGGCTCTCCATCAAGACCTTCATTTCAGTCTCTGTCTGAAACAAGCTGTAAATGCTCCTGTCTCTTTAAGGCCACCCCTCTCAAAGTCTACTTTCTTCTGATTGGCCAAGACCTGAAGCATGTTACCAGGCTGTTGTTGTTGCTGGGCAGAACAGGCAGACTGAGCGTTGCTGTGGGAGCAAATGACCATATATGGAACAGCAGCTCCGACTGGCTCCATGTGTCGTATTACGGAGCCGTTGGTAGAAAAAGCAGTTGAAAACAGAGCGTTCAGAACAGGAGGAAACCTGAGGTTTTTGCTCATTGTGATTTCAACATTATAACATTGTAGATAGGTCATAAAATGAGGAAAAGCATAATAGGTCTCCTTTAAGTATGCGTAAGTGCAGTGAAATACGTTCGTAACAATGGCTAAGTTGTAAACAACTGCTGACCGAGCGAGGTTTCTGAACTTTATGACTGGAACGTGGTCAACTCAGGCGTGACGTCATTCCCAGCTCTGACTTCTGAGGTAAATGGAAAGCAGCATGCAGTTTGCTTGAAAAATGCTAACAAGGCAGCAACAATGGACAGGGTGGCCGGGGAAATGTGGACAGCATAGCATGTTAATTTTGCAGAGAGAGAACGCGAGGTAAGTTAGCTATTTTTTACTGTATACTTACTTACTCGATCCCCGCAGTACACGGCACAGCAAACAACGCCAGACAAAGTTGTATTTACTATATAGTGACTATAAAGACTATAAAGTGAGTCGTGCGGCTCAACAATCGGGTCAGAATCGGGCTCAAGTCGTGCAGCGTATGCCCAGGTTAACAGACCCACATATCACCATCCATAAAGCTTTGCAGCTAACATGGTTCAAAATGCAAATAAAAGGAAATGTCAAATGTAAAAGAAACAAACAGACGTACCCTTGTCTTGGTGAGTTTGAACTCTTTGGCAAAGTTGAAGACTTTCGCAGACAACGGACGGATCGCCTCCAGAAGGGGTCGCCCATGCACTACGATCCTGACAGACACAAAGAATAAAGTCACGAGCTGAAATCTGGTGCTCAAATAAACAAAAACAACAATCAAACATCGGCATCCAAGCAAGTCGCAGAAACAGAACAGATGCAGATGACTTGAGATTATAGTGATGAAAATTTGGATATTTTGAGATAATTGGCGAAACGCAAATTTTATTTTTACACATCACCTTGAGATCAGAGATTGTCATTTATATGTACCTGGCTACTGAGTGAAATGTTCAACCACCCTGCAACATTTTGTGTTTCAAAAGGTTTAAAGTTTAAGCCGCGCATACACTTTTAGGCAGAGAAAATTATGAAGAAAGTGTCACTCAATCCAAATAAAATGGAGACCTTAGACTCACTATGATCTAAACACCCCCGCTGTCAGCAAGTCTGACTCAGTCACCTGGGGATTTGAACCCTGGGACTTCAGATCTCTGGAGTAGGTGACTTACTGACTGAGAGGCTGTTTCCACACACACCTCTCACAGGTTGAGGTAGTGACGTCACATGTGCCAGACCTGGATATTTTTGTCAGTTTAAACTTAAAGACAACTGTCAAGATGTTTGTGAGAAAATTCTGAGAAAAAAATCACGCATCATTCTGCTTGTTTTTGGTGTGCTGTCAGTGATTCGGATGGCATTTGATCCACAACTGAGCAAAAAAGAAAATGTTGTGCAAACTGTACAAGTTTTAGCAAGATACTGAATATCACTGCAGACTCACCGTTTGACCGATCTGAAAACCCTTTGAAGCACGTGATATCGGCCATCTAGAGAATGTCTGTGTTTTTGTAGCGATTGAAGAAAGTCTTGTGGAGATATAGATGTTGATTGATTTAGCATATTCTGAAAAATATAGAGTGACTGACTTCTGAATTGACCATAGGTTGCAGTAAGGCAAACGTTAGTCACATATCAGTGGATGTGCTGAAGATATTTCAGCTCTCTAGGACGTACGGAGGATTTTCTTAGAAAGTTTGGAATGAGAAATGCACGCCCACTTTGAGCAATCATTACCAAATTTTATGAATCAAATGAGTTGGGACCCTAGACTGTACAATCCGAATTTTGTACAAATCCAGCGAGGTATAAACTTTTTTTACAAGTGTAGTGCCCCCTAGTGGAAGACAAATCCCAGGACTGCTCAGCGAAACTCGGGACAAGCATCTGAATCACGTTTGGCAACAATAGCTTTAGCCAATTTTGATTTACAGGCATTTATGTAAAATTGTGCGTAAAGACACAAAAGTAAAAATTTATGGAAAAAAAACCCAGATTGATAACTTTTGATCAGCGACATCTGTAGATGATCCTGCCAAAGTTTCAGGTCGATTGTCGAAACCGTCTAGAATGATTTTTATGAATAAAAAAAAAACCATTGGAGCAAAGATGCAGATGAATCCAGAGTTTAAAATGATGAAAGTATCAGACTACTAGTATCAGAAGGAGAAAGATGACTTAATTCAATAGAACAAAAAAACTAAAACAAAAACTATAAATGCTAAAGAAAACCCAAAATCGAGAGAGAGAGATTTATTTTTTTTTTTAAACACACACTTACTGTTTTATTTATTCATTTTATTTAAAAAAATTTTTAATCACACACACACACACACACACACTTACCGTTTTATTTATTTATTTATTTTAATATTCAATATATTTTAACTTTTTTAACACAAACACACATACACTTTAATAACTTGTTTAATTAAATGTATGGGGTTGATTGTTCTTTGTAGTTTGTACCTGTCATAAGCACAGTTGGCCTGGTTGGTGACGGTGGTGTCAACTCTGTCTCCGATCAGCCAGGTAAATTTAGAATTGGTGAACAGTCGGATGTTTTTCTTGTTGGCTCGGGTCATGTAGCCACAGCTGGCGTGGAAATCTCCCAGGAACATCACATTCTACACACACACACACACACACACACACACACACACACACACACTTTTTGGTTAATTCACAGTCAGAGTTTTTTTTATCCGACACACCTGTCTACAGGGACGTTGTCTACTAAATTAAGGTGGAAGGACACATGAGTCCTTCCACCTTAGCTAAACACAATACTATGCAAAGCTGCATATTTTTAGGAAGGCATGTAGTGAATTCAGCCGCCCAGAGGTAAGGAAGTTAGTTGGATGGTGCTAGGTAGCTAAAAGCTGCAGCTCCCTTCCTATAAACTGCTTTTCATTTCCTCACCGTGTTGTTCCATTTCTTGGTGACTTCCAGAAATACGTCATAGAGCCGGTCCATCTCCTGGACGGCCCGATCATGATCAGAGTCCAGAGGAACCAAAATAAAGTCCTTGATTTCTGCAGAACAGAAAGAAGGGAAATAAAACAAGAACAGCAAAGGAAAAATTGAGGAGGAACAAAGGGAGGATGAGATTGCATGATAGATACAAGGGTTGTGTGTCTCCACGGACCAGTTTTCTCGCTGTGGAACTTCACGACGAACGGCTCCCTGAGGAAGGACTGGGCCTTCCTGTACTGATGCTGATCGGTCACATTCACCGTGTCGGTCCTGTTTGGAGCGGAGAAGAGGTTCAGAAGAAGGAGAAGTGTTACGGTGGATTTAACCAGCAGCAAAGAAATAATCCAGAGTAGAGGGATGTTACGTTGTCATTTACTGATGAGCTAAAAAAGAAGCTAAAAGGCTGCATACTCAGATCTGGAACCCCGACACACTGGAAGGATTTTACTGAAACACTACTTGTACTATATACAAAAATATATATAATGTCGTTTCACTGATTGTCAATTTTATTGTTTAGTAATTTAATATAAATGGCACATGAGGAGTTCCTGCAGTGAACAATATCCAGGTGTGTATGTCTCTCTTCCTGGACTACACACTGTGTCTCACCTGTAGATGAAAACGTACTGCTGCATGTTGTCGGGAGAGTTTCCCAGACCCACACTTGTTAATGCCCGGTAGGTGTAATTCTCATACCTCAACACAACAAACAAAGAGAAAAGGTTGATTACTAAAACACCAGCAAGTCAACACATAAGGAGGAGGAGAGGAGAATAAGCAGCTCTCTCTCCACAGGGGAGTGGCAGAATTTTGCAATTTATATGATCTAAACCTTTACTTATCTAGGTACGTATTTTCTCAGGAACACTCACACAGTTAGAGTCGGATGAGTTTTGTTTAAGGGCCTTGCTTAAGGGCACCTCAGCAGAGGTTAAACTGTGTTATAAATGTCATTTCACTTAACTTTGCCCAGCCGGATTTATCTTGACAGTCTTGGATCGAAACAGGGTTGACAGCGATTGTGTCTTTGTTTTTGGCAAACAATACTGAAGCTAAAGTAGCCTAGCTGTGGAGACAGCCCAGAGATGGACAGTAACTAAGTGCATAGTACTCACTACAGGGACATCATTTATTTGAAGGAAAAAAGTAAAACATTTTTTAAAAATAAAAAGGGAAGGAAGAGCTCAAACTAACTAGTTACATTTTTACAAGCTATAAACACCCTAATCCTGAGATTCTGAGAAAAAGGCTGCTTTTCATTTGTGGTTCCACTTCCCTTCATGCACTTCCCCTCAGCCCTTGGTATTACGAAACAGCACGAGTTGTACCCAGGCCACTTGGAGCGCAGAGGGAAAGTAGGCGGGGGAGGAGAGGAGTATTGAAATTGAAAACCCGCCCTTGTACACTTTTAGCCCAAACTCTGATTGCTCAACCGCCATTTGTAGGCTCAGTCCTGTCCTACTCTTTATAGATCATCAGAAATACCTGCAGACTTATTTCAATGAGGCGACGGTGTCTTCTGCGGATAATTGCAATATGTCCGCACTTTGTAATTAGCTGCAACAGTTTCTGATTAGGAAATGTATGTTTGTCATTGGTATTAAGTCTTATAACTGGTATTGCTACGAGTTTATGCAAAATATAAATTCTTCCATGCGCTTACAGATAATGTCGGTAATAAATCAGTCACAAAGTACAACAGTCTAAGAGTTGTTGTCTGCAATTCTCTGCAGCTGTCGGATATCTTATTACACTATCTGCTAACTAGGAGCTTTATGGACATCACTGCCACCTCACCATGGATCCATTTTCTTGAACAAACACATAAGCTCTAAAAGAGAGAGACCCGTGTGCTGTTCGCAGAAGAGCCGTGAAGCACACATGTGAATGAATGGTAATGTACATTTCTCACTTTTTCCCTGAAAAATTTATCAACCTTTTTAGATATAAAACCGCTAAATCAAGTGACAAAGTCACCAAGTTGGCCACACTGGTTAAAACTAGCCAACAGTACATAAAGTAGTTAAAACTAGCTAACAGTATAGATTATTTAAAACCAGCTAACTGTACATAAAGCAATTAAAAACTAGGTAACTGTATAGAAATTTAAAACTAGCTAACAGTATATAAAATTATTTAAAACTAGCTCACTATATTGTAGTTAAAACTAGCCCACAGTACATAAAGTAGTTAAAACTAGCTAACAGTATAGATTATTTAAAACCAGCTAACTGTATATAAAGCAATTAAAAACTAGGTAACTGTATAGAAATTTAAAACTAGCTAACAGTATATAAAATTATTTAAAACTAGCTCACTATATTGTAGTTAAAACTAGCTAAGTCTATAGAAAGTAGTTAAAACTAGTTTAATCTCCAGCAGCTTCAACATTAAAATGCTGTTGTAACATTGACATGACATAATATTTATGTGCTTTTGCTCAAATGCAGACACTTTCCTTGAAGTTCAGTATATTTTCATTGTTGTATTGTTACTTTTACTTAAGTTAAGAATCTGAGTTCTTCCAAAACTGAAACATCCCTCAGTTAGCTTTTATATTAGCATATTTCCCCCTAAAATTACCAGTTTGACAAGAAGTTTCCCCATAGATCCAAACATGCACAACAACCTTGATTTAGACTGTTTACAATATACCCAGGAATCATGCTTTTTATCCCATGTCGATTAGTGATTTACCTTCAGAATTGCCCCAGGGACACCAAAAAGACATTTAGTTAGTTAATTAGTGAACGAAGAAAAGCACTTTCAAATGTTTCCATTAGTATAACCAGCTAGCTGAAAACTCTCCAGCCTAACAACTTTGAGCAGACTGGAGCCAACCACCAGACATTGTAAAGTATTTATTCACCAACAAACAAACCCATTAGAGATCACCAGCTGCCTGCTGAGCAAAGCAAAGCCTTGTTCCGGTCATAAAAATGTGGTTAAATCGAGCACTAAATACAGTGTATTTACTCAGATTTCTTCTTTTCTGGATATTAGCAATTATGGAATAAATACTAGACCAAGAGAAACACTCTCAAATTGAAGAATGGGTATTTAGTATTACTCTACTACCATTACTTGCATTGAAAACTACATAAATAAAAAGTCCTGTAAAAGTAGTGATGGCCTTTCCTGAATACGTACAGTATTTCTAATGGCTAGTATTACACCTCTTATCAACACGAGATAACTTGACCACGTAGCCCTAAGCGTCGAAAAACGACCGTTGTAACAAGTTGGGAGTGAGAATGCGTTGAGTAAACTTGGTTTGTTAATTGCCTTCGATCTAATTTGTTACTTGTTCCTGCATGTGGTGTCCCACAGGGCGTAGTACTTGGTCTACTGCTTTTTTTGTGTACACACACACACACACACACACTTTCAAGTAATGACACAAATTCTCAATGTCTTGCTGACGACATTCAAATCTATGTTTCTGAGCCAATTACACTGCCAGCTTTTGAATACATTAGTATGACACCAGATGTCTTGATTTAGAAGAATATAACTGATTAACCATTTTTGACCACACATACTTGTATTACTGTGATGTACACTCACCTAAAGGATTATTAGGAACACCATACTAATACTGTGTTTGACCCCCTTTCGCCTTCAGAACTGCCTTAATTCTACGTGGCATTGATTCAACAAGGTGCTGAAAGCATTCTTTAGAAATGTGGGGTTGGTGAATAAATACTTTGGGGACTGTGGGGGCCATTTTAGTACAGGGAACTCATTGTCATGTTCAAGAAACCAATTTGAAATGATTTGAGCTTTGTGACATGGTGCATTATCCTGCTGGAAGTAGCCAGCAGAGGATGGCTACATGAGTGGTACCCGGTGGGGTCTTCTGCTGTTGTAGCCCATCCGCCTCAAGGTTGTGCGTGTTGTGGCTTCACAAATGCTTTGCTGCATACCTCGGTTGTAACGAGCGGTTATTTCAGTCAAAGTTGCTCTTCTATCAGCTTGAATCGGTCGGCCCGTTCTCCTCTGACCTCTAGCATCAACAAGGCATTTTCGCCCACAGGACTGCCGCATACTGGATGTTTTTCCCTTTTCACACCATTCTTTGTAAACCCTAGAAATGGTGGTGAAAATCCCAGTAACTGAGCAGATTGTGAAATACTCAGACCGGCCCGTCTGGCACCAACAACCATGCCATGCTAAAAATTGCTTAAATCACCTTTCTTTCCCATTCTGACATTCAGTTTGGAGTTCAGGAGATTGTCTTGACCAGGACCACACCCCTAAATGCATTGAAGCAACTGCCATGTGATTGGTTGAGTAGATAATTGCATTAATGAGAAATTGAACAGGTGTTCCTAATAATCTTTTAGGTGAGTGTGTATATATATATATTTCTTTAATAGTGAAATCAATTAACTGTTTATTTGAACATGTATGTACATTTTTTGGCTCAATCATGCCACAAAAAGCTATATTTTTTCAAAAAGCCCGTCACTGCTGATGTTACACAAGGGTTTGTACCTGCCACATTGGGACCCTCCATCCTCCAAACATAAAATCCCAATTTAACCCTTTGATATTAATTAGGTATGACACTTTATTTTGTTAAGCCTTCTCAGTCGACTCTCAACAAGGGCAGTTTCAACAGACAATCTTCTAGCTTCAGCCTCTAACTGACTATATAAATGATTAGTTGTGACCACCACCTGTATGTCAGTGTGGCAAAAAAAGCATTTTGGGAACTAGAGATGGCAATGTAATACAAATATTTTGTACAGTGATATTGTATTGTACTGTAGGTCCAGGACGTGTTAAGCCTAGCTTAGCATAAATACTAGAAGCAGGAGGACACTGCTAGCGGAGTTCCATTCAAACAACTCAAAATCTATTTGATTTGCCTTGTATTGAGTGAGCTATCACGCCAATCAGCAGTTCATCCTGTAGTCAGCTGGGATTAGTTGACAGTAGAGCTGGGACAGACCATAACATAATAACACTGTGGTTTCAGGACTGTTGAGGTGCTTCCTGCAGCCGGTGTTTGAAACCATAATGTCTCCTTTTTACATTTCTAGTTTTACACCTGTTCAATAAACAAGATTCAACATGTAAATCGGATCTATTTGGAGTTATTGAAAGGTCTATATTTTAATTTTAGTTTTAGTTTTGATGGAGGCTAAGCTAGCAGTTTCCCCTCATTTGTATGCTAAGCTAGGCTAGTCATATTTCAAATAGCTGTAATGGATGCACAGAGCTTTTCTATTAACCTTAAAGTTAAAGGATAGTTTTGTTCATTTTAAACCTGGGCCCTATTTTCACATATTTTGTGTTGAAATGATTAGTAATTAGAATTTTTTTTTTTTTTATCCGCGTAGCAGATGCTTCATCTACCAGCTGAACCGACTGCAGTGGCTGCAACGTCAAAATGGCTCCCACAAAAAGTGCTTCTTTTTGCCAGCAAAAGGCTCCGACTGTTTTACCAGGTGTCTGACAACATCATGGAAAAGATCCCCACGAGGGACTCCTGGTGACCCCCTTTGTTTTTAACAGGAAACTGAAGTCTCGCACAACAAAAGTTCACGCGCTGAAATCTTGTGAGAGGCGAGTTTTTGCGGGAAGACAGTGGAAATGAAAGTCCGAGATGGAAAGAGGAGTTTGATGTGTTGGAGTAGCGTTGGGAAATAAAAGTCTTGCTAGCTACATACACAAGAACTCCTCTCCCTCGTGTCCACCGGCGTCTTCCTGCAAAAACTCGCCTCTCATGATGATTTTAAAGCGCGAATTTTCCTCCAGGGAGACTTCACCGGGGTGTCACTCGGAGGGATTCTTTCCATGATGTTGTAAGACACCTGGTATCACAGTCTAAGCTTGTCGCTGGCAAAACAAAGCACTTTTTGTGGATGCTACTTTAAATTGCACAACTGCCTTGAAGGAATATGTTGCAGGCTGCCAGCTGAAGCCATCGACAGCACGGATTCCAAAACCTTTTTCTACCTACAAATCATTTTTACCCCAAAATATGTGAAATAGGGCCCAGGTTTAAAAATACAGAAATGATCCTTTAAAGAGGCACATAAAGAATGTCGTGATGGTTAAAGTGTGGGTGAAGATAAGCAACATAAACTCATTCTTCAAACCAGAATAACTCAGTTTCTATCTGTCCTGTTGATATTGACATGTTTCTTCCATTCTAATCTGTTGAGACAGCTCTGGTTGACAGCCAGCTGACTCGTTGACACGAGTGATTTTCCAAAATAAAGTGTTGCCTATTGTCACAGGTATTAGGATTAGTAAAGAGGGTAAATTTAAAAAAGATGATTGGGATGATTAATTAGGATTAGATGATGTTCCACATGCCCATAAATCCACTGTACCTGGGAACTTTCCTGTTGGAGGCAGACAGCAGACACAATAATGATCACCACATTTTATTAATATACATGTTACAACAGAATTGGTATGACGGTCTGAGAACCTTAAATCCTTCAGTTTAGTAGGTGACATTGTGTTAGCATTCAAACACTGACGAATGTTAAAACACAACAGATTTCACAGTAAAATGCAAGTTTAGACAGGAAGATGTGAAATTGGCGTGGGCAGAGACTCACTGAGAGCAGTTATGTTCTGTATGTAAGTTGAGTTCTTGCTAATAAACACACCTAAGGAACTTCTTGGTACTACCTTCTAATTAATAAGGCACCTTATAAAAATGGTTTACGAGTTGGAAGCTATGACTTCATTACTGGTCAATAAATTAATTTTTAGTTATCAAATATACTTGGTTCAAAAGCATTCCTCATTGTTTTGTAAAAGTAAATTAACAAGTTGTTACACGCACCAATAATACACCTTTTAAAGCAGTGGTCAGCAATAGGCGGCCCGCGGGACAGGACCGGCCCGCCAGCAATAATATCTGGCCTGTGGTCAGATTGCTTTGATGGCAGAGAAATAAAAAAATAAATAAACTGATAGCGGCTAGTGCTGAAATGGACAAATACAGTTACTCACACAATCTCTTCCTCTTAAGTGATTGTGCCTCCTAAATAAAAGCGGCAGAACATATTTTGCAGCAATGCTTTATGTCGAGTTTATTGAGAGCTTTTACTTTGAAGAGTTCTGAAGGACATTCAGAAGTGTCCTTATAATCAATTTGTTTAACAAGGGAGAAAAACAACACGCGCAGTTAGTTGTAATCAATCTTGACCCCTGCTTTAAAGGATTTATAAGTTTTAACTAATGGATCGTTCATTAATATAATAAAATATAATTACAAGCAATTAATGAGAACACTTTTGGGGTTGCCAGGTTGTTGAAAATCTTTTTTGGGAATATTATAGGTCTAAAGGTTTCATAATCTATTATTAAGTGCTCAAGGCTATATCACTTGATAATAAGCTATGTAAAACATAATTGAAATATTTATTAATAAATCCTTTATAAAAGTACATTATTAGAAAGTGAAACTGAAAACGTAAACTAGTGAATGGGATTTTCACAACCTGGCAACCCAATACTAACTGATTTAATTTACTTGTTTGTTTTACACCATGTGCCACAGCCTTTAACCAAAAAAAGATTTCTTGAAAAGGGAAGCAGGGGTTAGTGAGTGTGACCTGCTTCAGTATAGTTTCTACTGTACCTGTTGAGTGAAGACACCAGAATCTTGATGGCACTACCATCAGGATCATTCACCTCCTGCAGCAGAGTGATATCACAGCGAGACACGATCTGCAGACAGACAGACATCAAGCATGAATTCCTTCCAGCCATTGTTGTCATTTAGTTTCCATTTAAAAACCAGCTCTGCGTGATTTAAAGTCTGCTCATCCATCACAGTCAACATTTAATCCCCTTTATGTTTTTTTTTATTTGTTTAATAACTCCTCCTCCTTTTGACTGTGTGCCAATAGTGGTGAATGGACCGTTTTTGATTATGGGTGACAGGTTCGTTAAAGACTGTTTTCTCAACTAATTATTTTGAGGTTTTCAGATGTGAAAGTTCAGGACAGAAAGAGAGACTTATTTAACTTGGAGCACAGCAGAAAACGCCAGGAACTTGTTCCAACTTTTCAGAAAATGCACTGAAACTTGTGTTAAAGGGTTAGATAGGAGGTTACAGTCATACAGTTCATCTCCCATAACGTTCTTCTTTACCTCGGCCAGTCCGTTCTAAACAATGAAAACAAATCGTATCCTGAAACAAGCTGAAATATCATCACAGCAGCAGAAAATAAAGACACGACTGTGTGTCCGTCCTACCCGTGTCAGAGTGTGCACCAGTAGGAAGTTTTTTGCTTTCAGGATGTTGAAATCCTTCATGCTATAGGCACAGATCCTGAATCCCGAAGCTCCCACGACCAAGAGGGTGAGAAAAGAGCAGAGGAGAGGGAGACGAGGAGAGCTCCACTTCATGATTGGTCTGTGCAGAAAACAAGAGAGACACAGTGTCAGTGATGAGTCTAAAAAATTACAAAATAAAATAACCGTGTAGGTGTGCTGCACACATTTACTCATCCAGCTGAGTGGAGCTGCAGACTTCATCACTATGAAGACCCCCTTTTTTACCCGTTGTACATATAAAATCTTAATAAGTGCAACTTTCAGAGTGCTTGATTGAGACAAGGCAGACTTTCAAACGACTTCTCCAGTGAACTTGTTTTTCCTGGAGTCATTTCTGGTTAATCTGTTTCCCCGCAGGGATTTAAACCACACCTGCTAAAAAGGTATCAGGTGTTGCCTGCAGACTGACAGTCACATTTTGCAGATCTGTCAGCATTAAAACAGCAACATACTGCAATTTAAAGTGTAATAATTTAGTGTTTTTCTATATTTTCTTTTCGTAAAACAAAAGAACACCAATATCATGTTTGTGCGTCTCTCAGTAGGCTTCTGTCCGACCATTGGTGCCTGCCGAAGATGTACATCTCACAAATATACTGTTTGATTTTAAAAAGAGGTTCAGTGTTTCCTAAAACTGCAGCTCACTGTAGTTTTTTTACTAAACAAACAGGAGGAAATAGTGCATTTGTGAGGGACTACTTTCAGCGGCGGATGAGTATTTGGGGAAGCAGGATGGTGTATGTGGTAAGAACATGTGACGGTGTGTGTGTTCATGGTGCAGCAGAGAGGCTCACTGATGGGTTTTAATGGTTTCTGGACAACAATGGAGCTCTATGGCTCAGAGGAAGAGGAGACATCAGGCTGTGAGACACACAGAGGACTTGTGAGTAGATAGATTCACTGCTGGTTTCAGTCATGAAATTTGTTGACAAGAAGGAAAATACAGAATATAACCAGACTTCTATATAATCACCAATTACTCTATAATCTGGCATTTATTTAATGATTTTAGAGTAATTCATAACAATTATTACTGTTAGCCTCTAGATATTCGTTAATTAGCTACGGTTGACTTAGGGTGTAAATCTGGATTAATTTACAGAACAGAGCACAAAGCTCACACTTTCAGAGCCACTGACATTAAATCACGGAGAGAAGAGAAAAAAAAAACAAAAACAAAGGAAACCACCTTTGCATTTTACCACAGGAGCAAACCGACATGACTACAGGGGAAAACAACCTGATCTTAGTTTGCAGCAATAAATTGGTGAACTAAAACCTCACTGGAACACCACACGATGAGGTTTTCTGTGTACTATGTGAAAGATAAACAAATATGTGGCCACAGTATTTAAAGGAGTATTTGACATGAATAAAGGTCTTAAACATTGTTTATAAGAAAGAGAACTTCTTCCTGTGCAAGAACAATCTACATACACTTTATTGCCAAACGTGTTGGGTCGCCTGCCTTTACACGCACATGAAGGTTAATGACATCCCATTCTTAATCCGTAGGGTTTAATATGGAGTTGGTCCACCCTTTGCAGCTATAACAGCTTCAACTCTTCTGGGAAGGCTGTCCACAAGGTTTAGGAGTGTGTTCATGGGAATGTTTGATCATTCTTCTAGAAGCTCATTTGTGAGGTCAGGCACAGATGTTGGACGAGAAGGTCTGGCTCGCAGTCTCTGCTCTGATTCATCCCAAAGGTGTTCCATCAGGTTGGGATCAGGACTCTGTGCAGGACAGTCAAGTTCTCCACACCGAACTCGCTCCTCCAGGTCTTTATGGACCTCACTTTCACAGGCAGAGTTTATTTTGGACTCGACTTAAACTGGGCCGAGTTCAGTTTTCCAGTTTTTCCACGGTTTGTCCCACTTTAATCTTGTTCTTACAGCAGCAGCACAACCGATTCAGTGATGGAAAAATTACTCACATCTTTTAATTTAGTAAAAGTAGTAATACCACAGTGTAGAAATACTCTGTTACAAGCATTTTAAACCTTTAAGATAAGTAAAAGTACAAAAGCATTAGCATCAAAATATAGTTGAAGTAGTCATTATGCAGAATGGCCAATATTAGAATACATATATTATTATTGGATTATAATTGATGCGTTAATGTGTTCTTCACTTTAATGTTGCAGCTGGTCAAGGTTGAGCTTATTTGAATTATTTTATACTTTATACAAATTAACAAACAATGTAGATAAATGTAGTGGAGTAGAAGTATAAAGTTGCATAAAACACTCAAGTAAAGTACAAGTACCTCAAGTCAAGTCAGTTGTACTTTTTGTAGATGAAGATGTAAGACACAGAAATGCTTGTACAACATTAGTATTTATATTCCTACTAACATTTCTTAAGTTGGATGGTTTAAGTTTGGTATTTTTCAACCTGAACTCTATTCTCTCCGTGTTTTTGTGTCTGTGTGACTAACATGGACGCCATGTTTTTTTAATTGGTCCAGTATTGAGCTGCAAAGTAATTCTTGCGGGCAGTTGCGCCCCGTCAAAGTGCTTGTTTTTGCCAGGGACAGGCTCAGATTGTTATTCCAAGTGTCTGACAACATTGTGGAAAGGATCCCTACAGACAGAGACCTTTTTTTAAAGAGCAAGATCCTTTTTGCTTAACCAGAAACAGTCACTACAGGGTTCGTCAAAGCCACCAGACTCCAATGGTAAAAACAGCCATTTTACCTCGCAGAACACGGGAGGAGTTGCTGGTGTACCTCTGCCTCGGTCTCTTAGTTTCATAGTTTGTTTGTGTAACTTTAAAAAAAAAAAAGGTTAAAAACACCAAAGTCACACAATTACAACAAAAAAAAAACAACTAACCGATTGAGGCTGTAGTAGACCAAATGGGTAAAATTAAGGTTTTAGTCAATGGAGACTGGTGGCTTTTACAAGAGCGCTATAGTAACGGTTTCTGGTTAAACAAAAAGGTCTCTCTCGGTTGGGATTCTTACCGTAATGTTATCAGACACTTGTAATAACAATCTGAGCTTGTCAGCGGCAAAAAAAACGCTTTCTAGTTTGAACGCCTGTTCAAAGGAAGGCGTTGCGCCTTCCTTTGAACAGGTGCGACGCCCACAAGGCTTACTTTGCAGCCCTGTTTTGCTGCGGACGATTGCAACACGCTTCCTCAATACTGGACCAATATCCAAAAACATGTTGTTGCAGTTAGTCACAGAGACACAAAAGCATGGTAACATAGGTAGAAAAATACCAAACTTACCCTTTAATGTGACACACTGTGGGGTGGCAGTGGCGCAATGGATAAGACACATGCCTTTGGTGTGCGACCTCTGACATGAATAGCAATTGTAAGTCACTTTGGATAAACACGTCAGATAAATGTAGTGTAATGTAAGGAACAACGGTACGCACACATAAAAGACTTTATTGTTCCATCACTGGCAAAATCTGATATGTTGTTTTTTATAAAATGTATTAGAATGATGTCAATAAACTAAGCCAAGTGAAAAGTTGCAGAGGTGTCTCAATAAGACATCATCATGGGAATAAAATGTCTTGAAGAGCTTGTAATTTAACACATTGAAGGACCGTGTCGAACATTTGGCTGATGATGTAGGATGTTCACTCAGGCATGTATATCAATGATTTTTTCCCACATTGTGACGTGAAACCAAACATGACACAACACGATGAGTCAGTGACAAACTGACACCGTGAGCCGGCATTCTCGCTGCTGAAGAGCTGTGCACACAACGGGAAGTGGCATGTAGGTGGAGAACTACAGTGGGCTGATTAAATCTGTGCTCTGTGGCATGGCGAAATAAAAACAAAACATTTCTATAAGAGAAAAACTCTACAGGAACAGGACTGCAGCCAATAATGGAGGGAAATTAAATATTAACCTTCTCTGTAACTGTTCGGGAACATTAGCAGCTTCTTTCATTTACACATTCAGAGAAACGTGATACAACAACAGTGTGCGACATGGTGAGGGGTTAGACTGGTGTGATGCTGGAGTGGGGGCATGTTCAGACCTGAAGCACTACAGGAGAAAGAGAGAGAGAGGACCTCTTTACTGTGATCCTTTTTCCCTAAATTCACATTCACCCTCCCGTCTGCAAAACTGTAAATGCTGTGTTTATCTGTCAAAACATAACACAAGTGGCTTAACATCAATGATAAGCTCTCATTAAAAACCACAGAAAAGTTAATGGATTCATCCGCCGCTCAAACTAGTCCCCAACAAACGCACTATTCCCTCCTTTTTTGTTTGATTGAAAAAAAAACAAAAAAAAAACAACAGTGGGCAGCTGTGTTAGGAAATTACTGAGCGCTTTACAAAAAAACACTATATAATTGTGAGGTGTTTTTAAAGAAGAACATGTCACGACTGGTGGTGCAACAGATCACCAAACTCAGATGGTATCACAATTTTGAGCCACAGTTCAGATAATCTTTTGTCTCCGTTTCCCAAGAAAGAAAGGGAGACAACTAAACATTTGAAGCCGATGTGCCCTGTGCTGCGAAGGGAGAGAGCAGCAGCAGCGGTCGGCAATAGGCGGTCCAGATTACTTTGTTAAAAAAAAAAAAAATACCCAAAGAATTATAATGACGGGTGCTGAAACAGATCTCAGTCATGGCAGCAAAAGTTCCTCACATAATCACTTCCTCTTCAGTGATTGTGCCTACAAAATAAAAGCAGCAGTACCGCATGTCATGTTTGAGTGAGAGCTTTTAATTCAAAAGAGGCTCTCTGGCTCGCTTGTCGCACCTCTGAAAAAGCAGTCAGAAAACGAGAGATAGTGGATTCCCCTGAATGAGAAAAGCAGGACTTTCCTCTGCCTGGAGACGCTGGGGACACGAAAATGAGCGTCCGTAGGTTGATGTGGACCAATCGCTGCGATGCACACACCCCTGCTGCTCATGCGTAGTTGTGAAATGTAAAGGAAGAAAACAAAATACTAGTTCAACGGGAGTCCTGTGCACCACCAACTGAGCTAATCACACACAGTAAATGTTGGAATATAAATGGTCAATTGATGATGTTCTGGCCCGCCATCTAATGACTTTAAAAATATTTGGCCCGATGCCAGACTTATCTGCC